GTTGGGTCGGTGATGAGGTACCTGTGTGGTAAGTTTGTGTTAGCCCAATCACTTCGCCAACGTTCTTCAGTTGCCGTGTTTGCCTCGTGGAGTCTCTTTGCCTCAATCCAGAAAGGTTTCCTGGATTTCAAACGGTTGGCCGGTGGATTTGCTAGGTCTTGGTTGATTGGTAGGTTTGTGTTGTTGAGAGCTTTGATACTCTGACATAAGCTGCATCTCTCTGGAGGTGGGCTGGTGCTATGTTGGCCAACACTGGGAGCCATGGCAGAGGAGTGGATTTGAGGGTGCCCGTAATTATCCTCATAGGTGGAGGTGATGACAACCTTCTCGTGGTCTCCACTGTTACGTGCTCGTCACAACTAATGTCATCAACCCAGCGATCGAACGCTCCCAAAAGGCCTCCCGATCTGGATAGCAACAACATAATACCGCTAAAAGGCTCTTTTGTTGTCTCTTCTCAGAGCCAACAAAACCGAACGGTTGGACCATCAATCCACGTGTGCCACTTCAACGTAGAAGGGCTATCCCGTGCCAAGTGTGACTACCTAGGAAAATACCTTTCGGAACATAATATTGACGCTCTTGCACTCGGTGTCCTATGCAAAGCGGCTACCAACCCCCCCCCCCCCCCCCGAAGGTAGAAGGGTCAATCCCTAGCGTCCGAAATGATGCCGAAATGGAGGGCATTTCCACTTTCTGAAATAAAACTGAGGGTGGCATCTGTTATTGCTTCATACATACAGTCACGTTTTGGCGCCCTGTGCGGGGGCACGTGACTCACATGCCTAAGGCCGTCCTGAATGAGAGTTGTGAAGGTATCAAAACGACACTCCATGAGATCCGCAGTCTTTTACTGCTTATCTCCAGCTCAGGGCCGGATTAAAGGTAGGGGGGGGGGGGCAAAGGAGGCGGTTGCCTCGGACCTCGCAACTTCTTAATCCGGCCATGCGCCAGCTCAATGTAGCAACCCACCATCTGAGAGGGCTCTTCAGCGTGCACTACAGGAATGTGGGTACTTAGGGAGGTCGGATTTCAATTGGCCCAAACAATCAATCGAAAATAACTGATAAAGCACGAACCAAAAGAGACTGTCACGGCCGCATTCCGCTTTGAGACCGGTGGGAAGTGGGAGACATCTGTTGGAGGATTTATTTCGCGCACTATGGTAGCTTACATGCGAGACTCCACGTGAGAACGTCATACCGCGCTTTCATGTACGCAAAACTGCTTGTGGATTGGCATAAGAAGCCCATTTGCACTGCATGAATATCGTGTGCCTGGCAAACATTAAGACTGTGGCCTCCATGCCCACAACTGCGTTATGAGAGCACGATCGGGATATTATTAGGCATATACAGTGCTTTTCACTTGAGTCAGAATTTTTCACTTGACCTAGACACTAGTCTGACTCAAGTGAAAACTATGTATGCCCAACGTAGAACATTGGCTTCGCCAATGACACTCGAGTGGCACGTCTTAAGTCTATGATTGGCTGCCCTTTATCGAGTCAGAAATATGATCAGGGCTGAATAGGTATAATATGCATGGCAAAATGTGGTATTAAGCTGAAGGCTCCCCAATTCGTTATTGACCTATGGCTTATCCTACTAGCTGTAGTGCTTGTTTTATGCCTAGATTTACGCATAGACTCGTCAGGTAACGTTAGGCCTTAGGACAAAGTATAAAAAACACCTGAAGTAGTCGTAGGCCTGTATCACACCTATTAAAAAACAGGCCTGACCTTGACCCATGATAGGTTCATCATGAGGAAATAAAGGGAGCTTGAGGGAATCAGCTTTGCTGTAGGTTTATTGAGGCCTTACTGATTCATTGACTGACAGCCATTTCTGACCAGGGCTAAAGCATATATTTAGGAATGCTTATAAGGTTTTCTGCCAGGGACCCAGCTTATAAACTTTGAATAAGGTCTGACTTGAAAACTTTCTTTGCAAATTATGAGGTTTATATTATACAATGCCCAGCAAACAAGGTTATGTTGGACTAATGTAAGAATGTTCCAAACATTTATTCAATTTTGATTCAACATTATGTGTTTAAAATTGTTTGCTGGGTGATTTTTACTTCCTTTTTTTTTCTCTCTTTTCATCCAATTTTCACTTAATCATATATTGTCTTGTCTCAATAGCTGGCTCCTACCAGGATATCATGCAGTTGTATAGGCATAGATGTCTTTGGAAAAAAAACCACATTCATATTTTCATTCATGTAGGTATTACTTCTGATAAAGCTAGACTACATGAATATACTAATGAATTTTGTGTCAATGCAACTTCAATGTAAATTTTGTGAAAGTTAATAGCACAGATAAGTATATAAGATAGCCTAGTTTGTTGCAAGTGAATTTCAAGTGAATGACCTTATGCCTGTTGCTGTTGCTAAAAACCTAACAAATTTGAAATTTTCTCAGAACTTGATTTGGGAATTGTTCCAATTTTCATTTCATTGAGACTTGCCATCCAAAGGTTCAGTAAATAGAAGCTATTATTCTTGTTCAAAGCTACTAAAATTTTCATATTAAAGTTTGTCAATCTGTGATCCAACCTCCAACCATCAATATTTCTGTACTTCAACCAAAAATGTAAAGAATGCATATCCATCAGTATATTCATGGTTGGCAATGTATAAAGAGATGATGTCTCCTTGAAGAGTGATAATTTCAAATGCTTAAAAATGCTGGCAAACATGTCTGCTTTGGGGTCAAACCTGAGTTTAATTTTATTTATCTCCTTAATAACTTGTGTCAGTTGGATGGTCTCAGCCTTGACTTCATAATATTAGGCCTATATAAAGTAATTGTGATGTGGTCCATGATTTACTATGAAATCATACTAATATATTTCCACTTTGTAGACTATTTCCCTAAGGACAAGATACCAAATAATGTGGTACCTCAAGATGTATGACATGAATTAATTCACAAACCACTTATACCTTACAGCCAGATAATTTATACAACAGCAGGATGTGTTCAGTCAGTAATGGGTCAGATTTGAAGTCAGCTATTATTATGGTCTAGCTGACCCATGGAAGACTTCCATGAACCTCAGGTCGGCCTAGGCTAAATGGGTTGCATTTTTGGGAATTCATGAGTTCAGTCAATGGGCCTCAGAATACTCTACACAACAGCCACTTGAGAATGAATAAAACAGCCAGGAAGTCTGGAAAGAAACTGTGAGCTTGAGAGTGAGACTGAGACCCCCAAGCAAGGCAGAAGGCTGCTCATGTGCAGATAGATGCAGACATGCTTACAGATGCCTAAGCAGAATATATATATGGAAGATGTTCTACAGAAAGCTTGAGAAGGATCTCTTTGGGATACCCAAGTTGGTAACTAGCTATTTTTTATGTCCATTTTCACATTCCTTTTTTCAATTCATCTTTTAGAGCAAAAGAGCCATCAAATATTCAAATAATGCTTTTTTAAGAAGTTGAAGGAGGATTCTCTTTTCTATACGTTCCTGTTGGGAGTTATACAATGAGAATTTCAACTGGCATTTGTTTGACAAAAGTCTATGAAGATTCTCTAGCTGACCAAGTGCTCTGATCACTGATGTCTTTAAACATTCTAGTGCTTTTTCTTGAAAAATTCTTTATAAATGTATAAACTCACTTAGCATGTTGTACTTTCTCAGGGGCAGTACTATCTATGCTTTGCACAATCACTTAATGCAGCAGTTCTCAATCTGTGGTCCCTGGATATCAGCTAAGTGGTCTGTGGACATGTAAAAATGTGTTCAAGATGTGTGACAACGTGAAGTTGCGACTGGAAGCTTGCATCGCCATGGAGGGCCGCATGGTGGACCACTCCATGGAAAACAGAGTGTGACTCACTTCTTCAATCCTTTGACAATGTATTCCACCATAGTTACATGCAGGTATTAAAATACTTAAGGCATACGGCCTTGTTAAAAAATGTATATATTAATCTGGGCCACCCTGTATATATGGAAGATGTTCTACAGAAAGCTTGAGAAGGATCTCTTTGGGATACCCAAGTTGGTAACTAGCTATTTTTTATGGCCATTTTCACATTCCTTTTTTCAATTCATCTTTTAGAGCAAAAGAGCCATCAAATATTCAAATAATGCTTTTTTAAGAAGTTGAAGGAAGATTCTCTTTTCTATACGTTCCTGTTGGGAGTTATACAATGAGAATTTCAACTGGGATTTGTTTGACAAAAGTCTATGAAGATTCTCTAGCTGACCAAGTGCTCTGATCACTGATGTCTTTAAACATTCTAGTGCTTTTTCTTGAAAAATTCTTTATAAACGTATAAACTCACTTAGTATGTTGTACTTTCTCAGGGGCAGTACTATCTATGCTTTGCACAATCACTTAATGCAGCAGTTCTCAATCTGTGGTCCCTGGATATCAGCTAAGTGGTCTGTGGACATGTAAAAATGTGTTCAAGATGCCCTCTGTTTTGATTTCTGCATTCCCACAGTTTGACCATGTCTCCATGAATTTAGTCACTATCCACACCCTTTGCTATAGCAAATATTGACATCCCATGTTAACAAATTGCAACAAAACAAAACTGCATGAGACAAGCTTTCTGGAAATGTGTCACTCAACACTCTGTTGAGAATTGTGTATATGGCAAGCCATTAAAATCTGTAACATTGAGAATTGTCTCCCTGTATGTAATGGCTGCCTTCTTTTGTTGAGTACCTAATATGCTTCTTGGCTTGGAAGAGGGGGAAAAAAGTGATAGTCAGTAGAGCACCAACTGCAATAGGGATAAAGTTGGTAAAGCACCAACTGTGACAATACCAACGCTGACTATATGTAAGACAGATGAGGGATATGCAGTGTTGGATGAATTAGTTTAATTACAAGAAGTACCCATTAATAGTGGCAGTTTAACTGAGGCCTACAGGTGGACCAGGATGAGATAACTATTTTTTTTCATATTTCAGGCCATACCCTCACAGTCTGCAATGCAAAAAATACATTTTCAAAGTCTTTAGGCTGGAAAAATGGAGGAGGGCCACCTCAGTGTGAGAATAGTGGTGGTCAATTACCACATGACAACCCCAACTCTTAATTTGGATCCAACATACAGCAGTTTCAGAGGATCAGGAATTCACAAGGTTCCTGTGATTCGCATTTTTGGATCCACCCCCAATGGTATGTGATGCTCAAGTGATAAGTCCAGAAGATTGAAAAATAAAAGGCCTAGGATTAATTTTTCCTTTGTTTCCTGATATTGCAGGTCAGAAGACATGCCTACACATACATGGCATATTCCCATACTTTTATGTCCCTTATGATGGAAGCATTTCACCAGAAAGAGTATGTCACATCTTAGCAGCTAGCCTTGACAAGGCCCTCAATCTGGCAATGGGTCAACCAGAGAGCTCAACACAGCAACATGTCTACAAAGTTGTGATGGTATCTGGTTTGTGAGTACATTCCATCCTCTAGTGAATTCTCCTTATTACTCTACAGACTGAAAAAGGAAACCCTGTTTCTATTGCAGACCCTTCTATGGCTATCATCGGCGTGAGTGTCAGTTTCTGAAGGTGTTCTTCTACAACCCACTCATCATAAAGAAGGCAGCAGATCTTCTCCTCGTAAGGATTTTTTTTCAATTCTTTTAAATAAGGGACAGGTTACTTGTAGTTCTGTGTTAATGTCCTTCATAATTCATTTTTACCCTCTGAGGAATGAGTTTTCTTTGTGCCCTTAGGACGTTTTGAAAAAGAAATTCATTAAGGTCCCTCAGCAATATATATCTTAAAAGTTTTGATAATAATGTGATAAATAATAGTTAACTGTAATGCATGAAAGGCAAAAAATGCAGCAAATTCAAAAAGTGTAATTTACATTATTGTAAAATTTGTCAACATTTAAAAAATGTATCTTTATGGGCATACTCCTCAATGGGTTAGGGACCAGTCATCCAAACCTAATGGGATCACAGTTTAAGCTGACCCAGAAGCATCTCTCATAGGTCTCAATTCTGCATAACAGGCTGAAACTCAGCAGGTGGAAGTTGAGTGTGGAAAAGCTTTGAGTCAATGGCTTTTGACTTGTATGAGCCCTACCTGCTGATGTTTTACCAGTCATCTTAAACAGAGTAACTCTTGGGAGTTTCTTGGGGCATGCAATAGATGTGTCCAGACCATTAGACTTGAAAGTTCTCAGTTTGGAGAAGAAGCTGCTTGATCTGCAAGCTTTCCAGGATCCTGACATGCATGTTTTGCCTTATGCCATGTCCTATCTTGATGCATAACACTGTCTGTTTGATCTAAGAACTTTGGATTCTTTAGTCATAGCTAAAAGTTTGTTGCCAGAAGTGAGGGAGGGACAGTGAACACTCTTTAAAAACTGAGAGTTTCACCTCTGGAAATGTCAGACTTGGCAACCATGATGTGCCAGAGTTCATGCAAAAGTACCTAGGCCCTAAAGATGCAATGATACATCAATGATTTCTTTATTGCCCGTCACTCAAGTACCAGATCCTAAGGTACCTACCTTCTCCACATGCTTTTGTGAGGCCCTCCTGGCAGATGGGACACACTGAAATTGGTTTATTCAGAGAACCATAACCAAAGTTTTGGAGAAACTTAGTTTTATTCCAGCTGCAGGACAGAGTTGAATCAATCCAGTATGTTCTGAAAGTCCTTAACAGACTGGACCATGGAAGTATCATCATTCCTTACCTCAATGCCCCCAATTTTGACCTCGTTCAGACCCAACTTATGGCAACAAATCTTATTCATGTATGCTAGGAATACTCATCCTGCTTCCTCCTACAAAACTCCTGCAGTCATTGTGTTAGAACTGATAGGCCTAAAACAGCTGGCCCCTAATCCCATATTGTTGCAGTATCCAATAGCATCCCTCTTAAGTTTTCATTTATATGCCTTTTAGAGGTCCACAGATTCTCTTGGGTATGGTCCCAATGCTTTTCATAATAATCTTGGAGGGGGAAGAATTGGTCTGTGGGACTTGAGAGCTATACTACACTTCATGGATGACTTCTCCAACTGCCCAAGCTCCTAATTTCAACACCTTAGTTTAGACCCTAGCAGGTTTGCTGAGAGGAGTAATTCTTTAGTAATTCACACATTCTTTTGAGTCTCCCCTTTTTACTCATTGAAGTTTTTGCATGAAAGTGCTGTTTATGGTAAATGAGTAAAAAGACATAATGAAGGGATAAGTAATGCATAGTAACACTATTACTAAGGCAAGAGATGGTGCAATACTCATCAAAGTATTGTGATGCCTGACTTATGGTTACAAGTCAAACTTGTTAAATCCTCTCAATAAGTTTAATAGAGAAGCCACCTCATAGGCTTTCCAGTCCTCAGGTGCTGTCCCCACTTCAAATTGCTTCCATGCAATTTGACATATCTTATGCTTTCTCTGTGCACATCCAGGTTTCTTCCACAAGAGAAGACTACATTCCATAGGCTAATAATAAAGCTTGTAAAACTTACTCTATGAGACTATTCCTTGTGGAGAAAGACTATGAATTATGAATTAATGACTGGAGTGCACTGTGCTTGAGTTTCAGAGCTCCTCAAAATGTCCCTTCTGCCTTCAATGGATTTCTGTCTTTAGAACCAACATCCCCTTGTATTGGTGCAGCCTTTGCTATCCATAGAATAGAGTGTCTCCCTTGTTGGAGCCTTTTGATGGTTTGCCAGGATATCATGGTAGCAGTATGGTAACCGGATTCTATTTGTTCACAGAATATATTCCACACCTTTTTTTTTGCCACAGCTTGAGTAGCACCTCATTGTGCTGCTCTATAGCCCACCTTTGTAGACCTACTGGTCACATACTGCCTTCTTGGCAGCAACACAGTCTAATGTGCCTCTGTGTCTACCATGAATTCTGGTTGTTGTTACTGTGTGCTACCCTGATCGATTTTTCACCCCACAACCTCACTGCTGATACTGAAATATGACAGACAGGCCTAAGTAGATACCTTTTGGTCTTTAAGTCAGAAGTCTGGGGAGGAGGGAGTTTGACCTCTGTCACCCTTGTCAATTCCTCATGCATTTCTTCATCATTGATAGCATTCCACCTAACCTATTTTGCAACATGTTTGGCTTTTTGCTCATTTCTGAAATTTGCTCCTATTAGGAGCTTGTTAACTGCTGTGGGGATAGTTGGTCAAGTCAGTCCCATGCCTTACCCGTGTATCTGATAACAGACCCCCACAAGTGTGCTGAAATGATCTATGATTCCTAGCTCACAGTACCTATTTGACTGTCAGCCTCCTTGCACTTGGTGTACTTGTGGATGTATCTATGCTGCTAGGTATTGGTTATGGTAAGGCCTTTGGCATTCCCATTTAGTGTAACTGGCTTCTCTAAACTGAACTATTACACCACTCCTGACAGCTTCATCATGCTCAACTTGTGTGCAGAAGCCCCCCATCATCAAAACAAGTTTACCATTAGGAATCCTTCATTGAACCCCATTCATCATTATAGTCTGTCTTGCAATTTGGCCCATATAATGAATAGCAATGAAGACCTCAACTTGCTTTAACCTGAAGCAGATCAGAATGACTTGTCTATTGTTTCAAGTGTCCATTCTCTAAAAATAGCTGGCAGAAAGGAGCCAATGATTGTTCCCACTTCCATCTGGGCAAACATAATTAGGTAAACTACTCTATTAGAGGGTCCAATTGTGAACTATGGTGATACAGACCTCATCTTTACTCTTGGGTGATTCTAGAAGTACTATATAGGGTATGCCAAATAAAAGACCTCTTTCCCTCCTATTTGAAACCAAAGAGTCTCTGCTCTTACTGCTGTTATTTTAATGAAACTTGTACCAAGCATAAGGTAATATTTGCATAAGCCTTGTTAAATTTCTTTAAAATTCATGTCAAGGCAAAACTATGAGTGTTTATTCAAAATGAGTTGAATATTGGAAATGTACAGGAGTCTTTGCTGGAAGTTGAAGGGAGGAAAAGTCTTTGTGCTATGAACACATACAGAGTGTCCCATAAGTCACTTTGCCATTTCAAAAATGTCATTTGGAATTATCTTTGTCAAAAAATAGAGGTATTTCTGAGGTTTGAAAGTGCCTCAAGATGCCCTCCACCTATATCAATACATTTGGCATGAGGCTCCCCACCAAAATATTGCCACAACTCCCTTTGGACTCTGATGGGACTCTCAAAGACCTCCATCCAGGTGGCAACTTTCCTTCATTGTTCAAGTGTCAATTGTGAAGCCTTTTCTCATGACAGTGAAAGCAAATTAAATGTAAGGATTTTTTTTTCTGTTTCTCAAGTCTATCTTAAATTAGGAGGGAAAAACTGAATCTGCTGAAGTTTAGGAAATTAGTAGAAGAGGATTCAAGGTGTACCATGAATTGCCCTAGAGAAATAAACCTTTCTATTTAGCTTTTGAAGCAATTTCAGTTTGAGTCTGATTTCAAGTAATTATTTGGAATTTAAAAAATCCAAAGAACATTCTTTCCATCAATGCTAATAACAGTGACCTGGTTGGTTATTGCATTTTGAAATGGTATAGTGACTTATGGGACACCCTAGACCTTCTTGTCTGTAGCTTATTGACTGGGTCCCATGTATCCAGAAGCATGATTCCCTGGTCCAGTCACCATTGTATTAGTAGTCATAGTGAATACACTGTAACTGTTTATACAGGGTGGCTCAAAAATACCTGAACCCCTGTCTTTCTTTCAGAAATTTTGAATTCTTTCTTTTTCAAGATCAATGTGCCAAATTTCCTGTACCTAAGCTTCCATCTATTTCTGGCTCTCAATAAAAATTTGGCTACCTTTGCACAAGGGATTATGGAGGAATTAAATATTTTCAAACAGCACTCAGAATTTTCACTGCTCTGAAAGCACAACGGGTTGGAGCACAACACTTATTGCTGTCAATGCGTCATGACAGCTGAGCATCTATCCTGTTTTATGGCCTTGTTGCATCATCTATTCCAAATATCACGATAAAAAAAACTAGGAGAATTAGAGCAAGATTGCATTCCAGAAACGCTAAAGTGTGAAAATCGAGAATAGCATGAGCATTGACACGCTCACGCAGTTTCATCACATTTTATTAGTTTTCCCCAGATTTGCTATACTGTAATAGTTCTCTTAACTGTTGTCCCCAAAAATTGTTTCCAGATTCCTATTTCAAAGAAAGGCAGAGCAACCATTGAAGTGCTAAGGAAAGAATAACACTAGAGGTGAAGAAAATAGTGGAAGAGTTGCCCGATAAAACTGAAGCATCTCCAGTATCAATTTACTCTTGCAAAAGATTGATCAAACAGGCAGCAGTGATCACAAGCTCCCAGCGATCAGTAAATTGCACAATTGATCATTGAAGGAGCAGATCAGAAAGTGTTGTAAAAAAAAAGAGGAGATGCCTTTGGATATTTACAATAGAGCTTTGCTTCTGGGGCAGTTCAGTTCCAAGCAGTAAAAATTTAGAGTGCCATTTGAAAGAATTTAATTTCTCCACCATCCTTCATCTAAATGTTGCCAAATTTTTAATGAAAGCCAGAAATAGATGGAAGTTTGCCTCCAAGAAATTTGGCTCTTTAATCTTGAAAAATGAAAGATTTAAAAATTTTGAAGCACGGGGGTCCAGGTTTTTTTGAACCATCCTTTGTACATTGAACACTGTGAATAATCATGGTTCTGGGTTCATGCAAGTAACAACTGATCCAGTATGAAAAACCCAGGTCAAACTCATCTTTCTTGTATTGATTGGTCTTGATCTTCCTTTGTCTCCCTTTACTGAAGCATCTGTTATCATCTCAGAACCTAATAATACCACAGCCTAATGAATCACTGGTGTCCATCATGGTGATAGGAGACCCACTGCTGTGCTGGGTTTCCTCAGCTTATTTCATCACAAACAACTGCCTTCATTTCTTGGTTGCAAATGGTAAAGTACAATATTTCTTCATTTTTACAGAGTGGATGCATAATGGGTCAGTCCCTTCAACCTCATGAGACCCACATCCCATTCATCCTCCAGTTCCTCATGGACTTCAAGCTATATGGAATGAACTTGATAAAATGCAAGAATGTCAAGTTTCGCCGCAAGACATTTGATTTGAAAGGTAAAACCTTGTGATTCCTGCCAAAGCCTGTATATATACCTTGATCTTTAATGGTAACACTAGAAAAGTTCATAATGTGTTACTTTCCCACAAACTTGATCATTCATTTGATGGATGACCATAAAATGACCAATTACTTATCATTATCTATGGTTCTACCTTTGCACATTTTTTCTGGCCAATGAAGTGAAGATGGATGAGACTTTAGGTTATGGCTGCTTTAATACTTCATTACTATGTGTACTCACTTGCTGTTTGGTAATGGTAATTTAAGAGATGGCTGCTATTGAAGAAAGGGGAAGAGAAGGGTCCTTTTTTGGTTAGTGAGTGATAGAAAAGAATGGATTTATTGTAGGGTCTAGCTGTATTCAGGATTTCCTGCTTGCTGTTTTGCTTTCTGACCTCATTCTTCTAAGGGATAAAAAAGTAAAAGTAGAAAAGTTGCTGAGTGGCATCATGAGTGGTGCTGTGCAATTAAACATTCCAAATCTAAGCTCTGTTCCCATTTTTTGAGCATTGTGAAATACATAGCATTAAGGGCTATCAAGTACAATGCAATCAAATATGATACAAGCTGGGGGGCAGAAGTAGATTAATATGATGATTATCAAGTTATTATTTGCCCTAGTATTTGATCATCCAATGCAGTGGTTCTGAGCCTGTGTTATACCCTGATCCATAACCGCAAACCTAATGGTGCTTGGCTCACAAGTTCAGAAAAGGCCATAAGTAGTGTGCTTTTTTGTGGATTGTAAGAAAATATATGGTTAAATACTAGTGCACATGCATGAAGTAACATCGAAACCCATGCTTGAATAGAATATGTAATTGCTAAGGAAAGATAGTGTTTTCCTCTGACACCACCAAGAAACTAGTGCAAGGCCTATGACACATGAAAACTTGCACAATTGAGTGAGGATAGATAGTGATTGGGGAAATTAACAGAAGAAATGAAGGGCTGAAATGCAAAGTGGTCTATCTACAGAAAAAATTCTGGAAAACGGAAAAGTGGTCTAAGTGTCTAAGTTAAGTGTATATTTCCTAATAGCAGCATGGATACAAGAACCATTTCTTCAAAGTTCTTCTATGTTCCTTCCAGAATGCTTGTGGAAAGTGCTAGTCCCTCCATTTGCAGTTTGCAAACAGTGTTGTCAACTTTGTTATGCCAGCCGAAATGGGGGAATATGGCCACCTTGATTTGGGGCAATACTGTCCTTGACTTCATGGTAACACCACACTAATCTATTGGCAGTATCAGCTCCCTTTCAATTAGGACCTCAGGCAGCAAAATAGCATCCTATGCACACCCCTCTGGATATTTGGATAGACGTACTGGACATCTGGTCGAAATATGCAGTGCATGAGGATATCCACATGCACCGCCTCATGGACATCCACTTGACTTACTCCAGAAATTTTCATGGCACAAAATTTGAATGCAGGTAAATATCCCTTGTACAAAAAAGTTTAAATGTCATCTTGTTATTTTTGGCACTATTTATGCATACATGCAACAAATATGCAAGCTTTTCCAGTAATGTAAGTTCTCTTAGTTCACACTCATAGTGCATGTTCACTTTGATCTATGGTTCATCATTACTCTTACACCTACAGTTATATTTTGGAAATTTTGTGAAAGTCAAATTCAACCTTGATGGTTCGTTAAGACCAGGTTTAATTTTTTAGGAACATATTCCCCCAAATTACCCTATAGGTGGCCCTGCATGTTATTTTTCAATTTTCTGTTGCTTGGAGGTACTTTTTGCAGATGAACCTGTTTTCTTTAAGCCCCTCAATAGGTGTGTCTTTCCATATGAGGCAGACTTTGACCTGCAAGGGGTGATCAAAGAGGTATGCAGCTAAAAATAAAGTTGTCAGGTAGCATCTGATCCCAGGCCTTTCTCTCTAATCCACAATGGTTCTCCAAGAGCACTTCAACTTCTGACGTAAAATTTTTTTTCATCCAGCTAAGCTCCATCAGATGGGTATATGAATACATCTTTTCTACTGGCCAGTTTCTCAATGGAATTCAAAGATGAGGGGATGATCTCGCTGCTATACCTTCTCTCACTGAAAACCTGGACACCAATTAAAGGATATCCCTCAGGATTGGATCAGTGTTCATCATGAGGGTATTTCCTCCTTTGATATGGTTGCGAGCTATAAAAGAAATTACATAGCTAGGAAAGAAACTGTGATGATGAGGCTCCATCCTTACATCCATAGAATTCTGTGAACAATGCTACTATTGATAGCTGTTATGCCATCATTTACTATGTTTCTAGTACTACTTGGAGAATTTTAGATCATGAGCTTTGCATCAGTTGCAAAGACCCCACAGTTTTGTCATTCAGAGGTTGAAGAATTTCAGGAGGTGTGCCTGAAGATTCTCTCATCTCCTGACAGTAAAAAAAAATGGAGAAGTGTTCAAGAGCTGGTGGCCTGAAGAGGCACCCCGATGTCACAGGAGACACATTTTGGATATTCTTCTTCACTGTGAAAAATATGTCCAAAATATATCCTATAAAAGTCCAACATGATCTGGCTTTCAAAAGATGAGTCTCCACCTCAAGTTTTGAAATCTGGTTTTCTAAGTCACATGTCCACCATCAATTTTCAATATTCACTGTTTAAATCATCCAAAAGTCTAGAATCATCAGTTGCATTCTGTAATCAAACAAAGGCAAAGGTCTTCAGAGAACTTGAAATATCAGGACCAAAAACGAGAACATGACAAATGCTGCTTCACCATGCCAATACTGACCCTCTCAAGGAAAAGCCGAGGATATCCTATCTAATCGAGAGGGCATGTTCTCTCTTTTTCACCACTCACACAACTCTCCTGATTTGGCTAACTACGACTTCTGGCTCTTTCCTTAGCTTAAGTCCAGAATTGTTGAAGGCTATTTTTAGGGATAGATTAACTAACAAAGGCTGAATGAGCAGAGCTGTTTAGTATTCCTGCTCTGGACAACCATGATGCCTTTCAAAGCGTAGTGCTCCTTTTTCCTCTTTCACCGAGAAAAAAAAAATCTACCAAACAGCACCAAGATTAATCATTTATGGCTTTTAAGAATTCCATAACGAGTGCAAAAGTTTTCTCGACTCACTTTTCTGTCAAATCTATAATTTCTGTAATTCATGCATTTTTTTAATTCTATCATACTAATAATAATATGCATAGTCACGTAATTGAAATAAGTCATAAAACAGGTTCTTCTGAACAGGACAGGTACAGCAGCAAGTAAATTTCCCAGTGGTTATAAAATGCAGGCAGATATATAGAATTTGAAATAACTTTATCTTTTTATAGAAGCTTTTTTAGTGCCTCCCAGTCAGAATGCATTCTGGATGCAGAATCCCAAGTTTGAGGTAAAATATTTAGACTCTCGGGTAAAGGGTTTGAAAGGGAAGCGGTATAAAGTAAAGCAGAAGCCTTACAGTTTCCATAAGAGCTTTTTGGCCATTCCAAGCTGTTCAACCCAGAAAAAGATTGTATCCCAAGCCCATCTCTATGCATTCATGCAGCACAGCGGCGAGACCACTTTTAAATGTGAATATTCCATCATTTTGGTGTTGTAGTCATAGGGAGAATAAGGATTTCATGCAGATAGACCACTTTTCCTTTCCACATTAGAACAGGCTGTTCACAAAGGAGAAGTGGTCTATGTACATAGACCACTTTTCCTTTCTGAACTCAGAAAAACGACTTTTTTGCAGATAGACCACTTTGCCTTTCAGCCCTTCAAATATGAAAAATATTGTTCTGATTAGCTTCTGAAATTCTAGTGTACCATTTCACAAAATGTTTAATCCTAACTCCAAATGTCAAAGACTGTCAACCTTGAATACACGCTTGTTTCAAAAAGTCATTGCAATTCCTATCTAAGCATCCATGTGAGCCTATTCCTTGCAAACTCCATGTGTGTAAGGACTGATTCATTTTATTCATAATGTGTGCTTTAGTTTGAGCAAATGTCACTGGCAGCATTAGTGGGCCCCAAATCAACTTGGTGAGCATGCTTTCTTTATGCTCCAAGGAAGAGCAGCAGTATGTTATCCATTTTCGTGGGCAAATGGTAAACCAGTGGATATTCACAAATGATTGGTAGCCCAGTATGGTGAGAAGTGTATGAAAAAAAAACTGTATGAGTGGATAGAAAGGTCCCAAAATTGACAAGCAAGGGTTGTTGATGGCAGTCAATAATGACATCCATGCACAGACCTGTGTTTTTGTTACTATCTATTTTTTATTTGTATTTGTATTTTTTAAAGTTCTTCTTGTTCTCTGCTTCTAAGCTTCTGTATCTGAGGCTCCCAGTCTGTCAGAAAGGCCTATTTCAGTGAAAGCACTAGAAGGAAAGGGAGTCAAGAGTCAAGATAGTAGTGACATCAAAAGGCGATTTCGCCCATTTCAATATCACGTGTCGAGGTTGAGCATTCCTTAATTTTTGGGTAGGCCTAACCCTCTTAAAGCTAAAAGGTAAAAAAGGGAGGTAAAAAAGAGTGCTTGTTTGACTTCAGTCTCTCTTTTTTTTCTATGTCTATACAAACATCTCATTAGACTTTGGTCTGGTTTTTCAGAACTCACTGGGATCAAAGATCAGAGCAGTGTTTCCTTCATGGGGAATGCTAGCAGCTTCCCTTCTTTGCAGTCTTCATCTCATTCCTCCAGGGGATCTCAGTGCCCTTTCTATGACCCAGGGTCATTGCCAGAGTCCCTCCTGTTACCTGAGTCAGTACCACGTACTTCCACCTCTACTTTGGAAGCTGATGTCCGGGCATCTGACATACTCAATCCAGCAGATGCTTCCAGTAAGTTCATTATGTTTCTGTCACTAGATTCCAATGTGCTAATTTATTCTGGCAGATTTAAGTTTACTTATTGGAGCTGGATTTTCCATTACCTACTAGTCACCCTCCCCCCCTAAAAGACCAATAATTTAATCTTGATACAATAAAGTAGGCCTTTTCTTTCGTTTCAACAAATGTTTCTAAAAAATAAAAATTAATTTGTATTGATGGCCCCAGAGTTTCATGGATGATTGGAAATGCATCTCACATTCTTCATGAGCAAATATTCAGAATGGAAAGCATTCCTCCCATAGCTAGTGGCACCTTATTTAACACTTTGTGTGCAGATCATGTGGAAAGCTAAGATTGTCCGTCCAGGTGTCATGTACAGATTGTAGGAAACTACATTTTTGTGCAGTCTCATGAATGTGCATCCTACTGCACTCTGGTGCATTTTATGTTCCTGTAGGAAAAAGTTGTGTTTTTACAAGTAATGTAGTTATTTTTGCATATTGTTAACCCTAGAACTACCAACTGTCAATAAAATCCACTATCAACTGTTGATTTTATTTATGGTTGACAGTTCTAGAGTTAAATATCCAGGGTGGACAATGACAGCTTTCTACATGACCTGTACACAAAGTGTTAGCATTTAACCTAAATTCTATGTTTTCAGATCCATGTTTCTTCTTGCATGATAATTTAAGAACAGAAAAGAGAAGAACATATGTATGGGGCAGAAGGGTTCCAAAATCTTTGCTGCTGGAGCAATGTGGGAAAGTGATAGTGACGGCTTGTGATATTTAGCGCTAGTGATTCATCTATGGAGAGGGGGTACGTAGCGACCTCCCCTACCTCCATGGATGAACCACTAGTGCTAAATATCACGAGCCACCACTGGAAAGTGATAATGATCAGTCTCCCACATTGCTTGCAGCTTTGTATCTAGATATGCTTTAAAGTATCATCAATCTAGAAATGTTTAAAGAAGCTTAGAAATCACCTACCAAAACTTTGATTTGTTTTGTAGGGCTGAAAGGGCAGAATCCAGGGATAGTGGAGATCTGGCATGAGGAGCGTGAGAGGCGAGGAGACATGGGATTTGGCAAAGAGAATACTTTGACCCCACCCTCATCTCCAGATCGCAAGGAGCATCCTCCCACTGACAGCCACTTATTCTATGAATCACGTCTCTTGAAACGACTGTCTGAACCCAGCTCTGCTCAGGTGGCATATCATGATATATATGTAGGAGTAGGAAAGCCAATTTTCAAGGTGTTTATTATATTACTACATCTTTCCCACTGCTTTGTACCACTGTCAAATTCAGCTGCCATTGCCTATTTCTTTTACTATTTGTAATCCAATGAAGGAGTCTGTTAGGAATAGAAGAATAGCTGTTCAAGTTTGACAGAAAAACCTCATTTACTGCATTGAAAGCAATGGTCCAGCATGACATAGGATGTACCTGGTCGCTGGCCTAAATAACTATATTATACTGTACCATGGGAATGCACTGTGAAGCAAAAAAATAATTCATTGAAAATGTAATGCCAGAAAACCATTGGTAGTGGGATGTTGCTTATTCTGAAGTAGAAAGAGAAGTGGATTTTGCATGCTCCTGCCAATTTTTCTCATTGTGTGATTGGCAGTATATTTATGAAAAGCATAGTTCAAGGTGACTGCTTTCCTCTTGAATGCAAGCATGGAGTTGATGTTGTTTCTGATCATTTGCAGTCTGTCATGTATTGAGGAATTTTTCCTCATGTTTTGTTAAAGCATGATATTCACCTCTGTAGCTCCTCAAGTGTATTGTAGGAGAAAGCTATTAGTGTACAGTCAATTCAGTATGAGATCAGTTTGCAAAGTATTTTGACAGCTGCTATCCTGCTATCCTGCCAGTCTCAGTCTGTTAAATGATTGATTGGGATCATTTCTGACAGCTTTTCTTTTCTTGGCAGAATAAGGATCATAAATCACTGATAGAGGATTCACATCACAACCCTGGGAATGGACAGAGTAGTCATGAATGGAAGGAGAATACTTTATGTCAACAAATTAACTGTATGTTAGACCTATCTGCTTGAAATTGACTATGGAAAAAGGAATAATATGAAGTGCCGTAGAAAAATAAAAAAAGGATTACTCCCAGTACTTTATTGACTTTCAAAATGCATGGAGTTAATGTTAATGTAATTGGAGTTGTTGTCACTGGAAGTACCTAAATCTTCATTCACTTCCACGATAATAGAATCAACTTCCTGATCAATATATTTATCTGTAACACAATAGCACCTCTCTCTCTTCCATAGGACAGGTCACTCATATTTTTATTACAAGATGTGTTAAAGTAGATAGTAAAGCAAGTTGATACCATTGGTTTTCATTGATGAAGGTGCCAAAGTGAATCAAAAAGTGTATCAATCACAAATCCTGGAGGGGATTTTGGAGTCCAGGATCTTTTCAAAAACCTCACAAAAGTTTGAACTCTCTGTGACATGCTCTCCAGGGAGCATGAAATGAAATTTCACTGAAACTTTGTGTAAAATTGTCTATAACTTCCCATAATGTTTGAAGGCTAATATAATTGCTAATGGTGGATATTTCAAGAATGTGTGATTTATTTGCAAAGACTAGTGTCTGAGCCAGGTTTTTGTCAAATTGGGATTTTTCCATAAGCTTGTTAAATTGTATTAATTAAGGTTGTAAAAAAGTTACAAACTTTTGTGGCACTCTGTATAGAAGCTTTTGCACAAACCAAGGAATGAGAGGGAAATTGTCAGAAAGACTACCTCTCCTCCAGAATAAGTGGAAGAGGTCAGGAGTGAGAAAGAAGCCCTACCCTTTATTTTCTTACTACTACACCTGTGCAGATGGGCAGACAAAAAATAATTTACCTTTTGAAAATTCTGAGAAATGGCATAGAAAAATTTCCAAAGAAATAGGATTTCTGCATAAAGAGCATCTGGACTACAGAGAGAATTTTAACTTGGGGCCCATTTCCTCACTAGGACCAATGATTTATTATTGCTAAAATTCTTTTTTTTTTTCAAGAATTCCATATTACTGACATTCTGATAATGAATGTTGACTCTGTTACAGTAAACTCTAGATAATTTGAACCTCTTTAACTCGAATTTCTCTGACTCGAAGAAACTACGTTTCCCTTTAAAAGTCCCATAAGGACAATTAATTTCTCCCCTCTGTTGATCAGTCATGGGCCCTGTCAAAAATGTTTCTTGATCTATCGTTGGCCCATAACTGAGGCAGTTCGCTCATTTCCGGCAACTAATTGAGCCAGCCTAATCACATTTGTGCCGCAGTTGCACCATTCATCGTCCCTTCACTGGGCGACACAGGGCACCAGTGGCGTATGTGCAGTTAATGGGCTGAGAAGGATCCAAAAGTCGTTGTTAGATGGAGCCTAAGTGGTCATAGTTGCGAGTCACTTCCCAGATTCTACTGAAATGAGTCACCTGTACATTTGACACATTTCCTTATGGTTTCCCACATGGATTATAGAGGAATAAAATGGATTTCCTCTAAATATTTCTCGGAAGATATAACCCAATCAAGGGATAAACCAGGAAATTCTGGCTCTGTAGGTTGGTGGGAGGATACTCTACACTTTACACTATGGGTTGAAATGAATCAAATGAAAATTTCTTGACTGCATGAACCATTTTCAATGCAATCCTGCATTTGGAAAACATCGTTAAATGCGAAGGTGCCATGAAAAACATGCCAAAATCTTCTGACTGACATTTTCCAGTGTTTATGCATTAAATGAGGAGGTGTTACACGTTTTGAAGTACTAAATACATGTATGTACAGCTTTGTAGCATATATATTCTAAAAACCTCTATAACTTGAAGTCTCATTAACTCAAGTGTCCCTTGGACTTTGAGTTATCGAGAGTTGACTGTATATTCATGTGAACCCAGCCTTTGAAAACTGATGGATTCATTTTCCATGTCTTTTTGAGCTCATGAGGTGATTTCTGGCATTTATATTTGTGATAAGGGGATGGCGAGCCCAAAAGAAAGGGGTTTACTGAATGTGACACTAGCCCGGGAGATCAACTCTGAAGAATCAGGAAGATTCCCACCTGCAAGTCTTCTGTCATTGGATGACATTGAGAGGAGGGAAGAACCTTCCTCATGGATTTATGACACCCAGGTGGATGAGGAACTTGTCCTCAGTCTTAGTCAGCACACACCTAATGTCTTCAGTCAGACTCTAAGTGAGTTCTTAATACAATTAATATTATCTGGGGAGCCTAGACCTTGCTGTCTAGACAGGGATCACAAGCAGTTGATTTGTATTGTACATAGGGCACTCAGAGAGTTTCAGGATGTGAGTTCAAGGAAAGGGTCACACATGAAAGCTTTCCTACACTTACAGCTCCACTTGACATGAGTCTGTGTACAAGGTTTCAAATAAATACCACATTGGGTAGTATATTTATACTGTTTTATACACTGTATATCTGCAAGATTTTTTATCTGGCAATGGAACTTGGAACAATGGAACCACAAGCACTTTTGTGATTTCCAGTGATGCTTAATGCAAGAACAGAGCATTGCCAGGGTGCAAGGTGCATTTGTAGGTGGTGTTCTGTGAATTCAGCATAGCGTTTTTGTGGTTTGCTGAATTTTGAAGGGAGTGGTGAGCAATGACAGATGAACCTCGCACCAAACAGTTGTGATTGGGGCTCGACAAAAAACTTGTAGGCATGCAGGCATGCAGGGTATGAAATGCCATAAATCAAATGCTTGAAGAAGTATATATTTTAAAATTTGCATGTCTCAAATCACATGGAGCTGAAGGTATAGAAAAGCTTTCATGTGTGACCCTTTCCATGAAGTCACATCCAGAAACTTTCCGAGTGCCTTTATATAACGTATAACGTCCTTTGCCATTAGACTTGTATTCACTCCAGGCTTGTTAGACTTTGCAGGCCAGAATGATCTGAGCCATTCATATCTAAGTTTTAGATAATGTGTAGGGAATTTTTGAGCAGGTTAATGACCCACTGCGAAGTATTATACAAGGGTGCTGAGAGATGGTACTTACTGGTACCATCTCTCAGCACATACTGGATCATGATCCTGTACTAGACAGGACAAGGGAACTCAAGTCAGAAGTTGGCTGTGCATGGAATTGAAGCCATGACACCACTGTCTAGCAGATTGTGATCCCAACATTCTAACCACTAGACCACTGCACCAGCCCAAAAAAGAGGGCTTGATAAGTCTGTATTTGAATGCGAGCTCACAATCCACACGTTTTTATTGGGTGGGTGCAGTGGTCTAGTGGTTTGAATGTTGGGATCACTATGCTCTAGATGGTGGTGTTGTGGCTTTGATTACATGCACAGCCAACCTCTTGAGTTCCCTTGTCCTATCTAGTACAGGATCGTGATATAAAGTGCCATCTCTAGGCACCCTTTTTAGATAAGGTGCACTTTTTAAACTCTGGAGTTTTGGCCATTTGGTATTCTGCTGTAGACGTTTGCCAAATGCCAAAAAAATTAGCCAAAATAGAAAAAATTAACAGTGTGCAATATGATCAAAATGCTGCCCAAAAATGTGTACCATTTGAAAATCAAATTTTAGAAGACAGTTTCTACTCAGTTTCAGTATATGGAGGTTTTCAGACTATGTGGTACTGCCAATCACTGGCAATGCAGGCTCATGACTGGCCTGCCTACCCACCAAAAGAAGCAATTGTTAACTCTAAGTTTGTCCTTGTGTAATTGTCTAGATGAGGAGGACAAAGAGTTGGTGGACATTTTGATGGGTCTCTCCAATGATGGTGGATATGAAGATGGAGACAGACAGGATCCAGAGGCTGAAGATGATGATACCTTTGAGATGACACATTGGATCTGGCAGCAAGAAGAGGGTGAATTAAATGAGCAGACTGATGATGGAGGAGATGAGGAAATTATTGATTGTGCAGAGGAGGGAGGTAAGGTGATGAATGACAGAAAAATTGTGGGGGGAAAAAAGCCAGGTGGGGAAAATATTGAAAGAGAACAGGAACTATATGAAGAAAAGGTTAAGGAAGAGCAAGAAGAAAATGGAATCATAGAACAGGGAGATCCTCGATTGTTAGTTCAAGTTTTGCAAAAGGTGCAAGAAGCAGATGATAGCTCTGAGGAGTCTTCATCTGTGGATAACTATGACAAAATGGGTCACACTGAGGAAAGTGAGGATTCCCTCATATTGAGGGGCCATGGATTTGACAAAACCCTCAGAAGAAAAGGTGAAGAATTGGATAAAGTTCAGAAGGCTAAGGAAATCCAGGAGAGAGGAAATAATATCTTGGAGGTAGATGTAGAGGATTTGGATGAAGAAAAGATCAAGGGAGAGCAAGAGAAAGAAGAACTCTTTGGAGAAAGCATTGCACAAGCAGTGCAGCAAGAAATTGTTGGTAGTCCCTTTGGAAAGAAAGAGCTTAAAAGCCTTGAGAAGCCTCAAGGTATGAGCAAATATGATGAAATAGGGCACAAAGAAGGAAATGAAGGTGATCTCATTGCAAAAACCCTGCTAGTTGACAAAGCCAGTGGAAGAGAAGGCAATGAAGCCCTGGAAGATATTGACAGGGAAGCAAAAGAGACCATTTGCACAGAAATAGCATACAGACATTCTTTCAAAGGGCAGAATGACTTGGAGGATCTAATGGAAGAGTTGGGAAGCATTGATAGTGATGCAGACTTAGACAAATCCAAGGAAATGAGTCAGGAAGATGGAAGCAGCTCAGGTGCTGTGGATGAAGAATATCATCTTACTCCAGGTCAGCGATGCCAGGATGACCACATCTGTCCTGCTCTGAGTCAGCAATATCAAAATGATCAAGATGCTCTCAAGGTGGAGGGCCAGGCAGATGACAAAAGTGATCCAAGAGAAGATGATGAAGACTCTGAACTTGAGAGGAAAGCAAAAACCACCAAGGATGATGAAACAGGTGCCTTGGAGGCAGATCTTGGAGGATCTTTGATGGAGAAAGAGCAGGAGAATCAACTAGTGCATCAGAAACTTGGAGTTAAAAAATACGTGGAGAATCAAATGGATGAAACTGTGAACTTTGAAGATGGTGCTAACATGAACAAATGTGAAAAGCTGAACCAAGAGGAGAACAGTAAAGGCTTGGGAGATGCCATGGATGAAGAAGACACTCTCACCCCAGGTCAGCAACGCCAAGATGACCAAGACAGTGTGAGTTCTTTTTGCCATTCTTGTACTGAATACTGTAATTTTGCATTTTGCAGTTTGGCCTTGCAGTGTGATTTCATTTGCTATGTTGGATGGAATAGTTTTAGTGTAAGGTTCATTATTCTTGGTAGACATTACTTCATATCACAAAGGCTTGGTTTAGTTTTCAGTCTTCTATATATGTGCCTAGTCTGGGGAACCAGAATTTACAAGACCACCTCTTACAGAAATTCACAAAGAGACTACATCCCTAAGGTTGCATAATCAGTCTGAAATGGGCACCTTTAAGGATTCATTCTGAATGACAGGGACAAGAAAGTGAAGAAGGTGACATGGACCAGAGTGGAGGTAGGAATAGTTATACCCTGACAGAAGAGACAGGTTCCATCATTGGAAGATCATATGCTGAGCAGTTCATAGAAGATGTGAGTGGGGATGAGCCAGAGGACAGTGTGACCACCATAGAAGAATGTCATGAGGACGAAGAGGAGGCTATGATTGATTCCCTCATCGAAGATGGTAGTGATGACAAGCAAGGTCATTGTGATGATCGAAGCAGGTCAGCATCTAGGTGTATTTGTCCATTTTGCAAATAATTTCTTGCTTCATATTACGTAGGCTTTGGAAGAAATTTGATCATGTAAATGGACAAGAGCATAGGCTGGCTGTGAAGTGGAGGACATGGTCAAATGCTTTGCTCCCATATTATCCAGGTCACTTCAAACTTCTCATCTATTGAAATTCATGTTTTAGACTGGCCTTTTCTTGTAGATTTATTGTAATAAAGCATATCAAAACTAGTGACAGGTTATCAAAAAGTACCAAAACTGGGAGAGTTTGCTCAAAGTTTATTTAGATCTTAAGAGAAAGGTCCCAACCTGAACCTTTCCCTTGGTCTTCATCAGAGAGCAAGGCAGGAGGATGAGGCATTCAGAAGGGATTAGAGTCTGCAGTGCATTTGCAATCTTTGATTTCCTTTGAGTAGTTTTTCATTGCTCTAATTTGGCAGGATCAATTTGGATGAAATTTCAAAATTCTGTTGAGCACATATTAACATATACACAGTGGAAGTTTTGTGAAAATAGTTCTAGAGGGAGCAGTGATGTATGAGTTGAAAGTCATTTTTTTTTTTGGCCGTACACTGTATATGGAATTCTTGGAAGAATGTAAATTTGCTTAATTCCTTTCCAGATCAAATGATCTATCCACTCAGGAGATGGAGGACTTCCTACAAGGATCTTTCCCAATCCCACCAACTGACAATCAGTCTAGCCTCCCTCAGTTGGATGGACCTATTGAGGAATCTAACATTTCAAACCCAACTTCTCATGGAGAATTCCAATATAGTATTTCCCTGATGGGAGAACCAAGCACCACCCCTGGTTGTGTGAAAAATCATGGGAAGAATGACACTGTTATGGATGTGGATTTCCAGGAGGATAGCATACATGACATTGCAATGTTGGAACCTGAAGTGGAGATTGGAACCCTGGATTCTATTTTTGAGGTACCCAACATCCCAGTTGTGACAGTTGAGGACACCCTCCCAACTGTAGCTGTAATGGCAACAGGAACCTTTATGACAAAGGCTGCTAGGAAACTGATGCCAACCATTCAGACTAAAGCAGCTCTCAAGGTTGGATTGAATCATTCTGGAATTCCAAAGGTAAACAGGAACAGTTCATGTCTTTGGACACCTCAGCAGGAGGAAGCAGCTCGGTGTGCCTTGGGCCTTAAACACTGTGAGGTACAACTTGATCCAATGGAGCTTCCAAGTGCACAAGACTCTAATCCACTCAGAAACCATCCTTCACCATCAACATCAAGCAAGGCATTAACAGTTGATAAAAAGTATGTGAATGTAACACTGAAGACCAACAATCCCAGAGCAATAGCCAAAAAATCAAAAGTTTCTCAAGGCAAGACAAAAATGTCAAAGCATTCTAAATCGAAGGACAGACAGTCAAAACCCTCCACTTCATCAAAAGCAGCAGATGGCATGGATGACATACATCCTGTGGAAGCATCCCGTTCCAGGAGGGCATATGTTCCTGCTTTTGGTGATCTTGATCAGGCATTGGAAGAGGCAACCTTTGGCCTCATCAAGGACCTAACCAACCATGCAAAAGGGAGCACTCACCAAAAGGCAGAAAGATTGACTGTTGATGCAGTACCTGTGGTGAAGCTGCATCGCTTGTCTGCAGATGAACCATGTCTAAAATATGTGCGGTTGAGTCCTGATGATCTGAAAGTCATCAGTGAGCATAGGCCACAAAGGAGCTCCACTGCAAGATCTAAGACAAGGTGCTTGTCTCCAGTCATTGAAGCTTACTCTGCTCGTGCCAATGGTGATCATGAAACTGAATGTGAAAATGCCTTGATGTACCTCTCATTCCCAAGTCCTAGGCACAATGAAGATGGTTTATCCCTGCCTTGCCCCATGTCTCTTTCTGAAAGCCCCTCAGAGAACAGGCTGCAACAAGCTCTTGAAGTCAGTCACAAAATAACAGCCATTACTGCTGCAACTGCTGCTGTCACTGAGGGAACTTCTCTCATAAGTACCCACAGTTCTCAGCAGGAGTCTGTGAACCCCATAGTGGCCAAAAAATTTGATTTCCCACCAGAATCTTCCTGTAGGCAAACAAGAACCTCCTTTTCTCCTGATGTTGGTTCTTCTGCCTCTCATGTGGTCACAAGAAGTAGCAATAAAAGGGCATCTGAGAGACAAGCCCTGAAGAGAGAACTGAAGGCAAATGAAAAAAGAGAAACCAGGCAGACAACAAAAAACCAATATGAAGCTAAAATGAATCTTCAGACTTTTTCCTTACCAGAGACATCCTCTCGAATGACTACATGCCTTTCAGGAGATCAACATGTGATGGGAACTATTTCATCTTCACACAGAGCCAAAGCAACCAAATTGCTTGAAGAGTCTCCATCATCATTCTCTGTTGAAGAATGCAAAGCATTGGATAAGGAATTTGCTACAGGAAAAGAAACCCCCTCTTTAAAAGTTATCAGCAAACTCTCCCCACTAAAAAGTGATCATTCTCAGAAGATAAGAGCTCAGACCTTGAGAAAATCACAGAGTGACACCCATCTGACATTAACAAAACAAGCTTCATCATCAAAAGTGGTGAGCAAGAAGGTGGGCAACTCTCAGATCAAGGGAACCAAGAATTTTGGAAAATCCAAGACTGAAACCCAGACTCTAAAGCAAACAATAATAAAGGGAGCAACTCCAGATGAATCTACCACCCCATCATGCCCAATGAGGACACGCCAGCGCACAACTGAAGCTAAGACTGAATTCATGGGAAGATTGAGCCTAGAACACAGTGGTTCAGACAGACGACGCTCCCTCAACTCTCCTAGAAATGAGACTCCATTGAAAAGAAGTAGGCACGAATCCTTGGACCTTCGAGAGTGCAGTGTGATGTTGGAACCATTGTCTCAAGAGGAGCTACATTCTTATCTTCCCCCTCTCATCTCCTTAACATTTGATGTTATTCCACCATCTTTCAAAGATGTTATTGCCACTTTGAAAAACTATGACATCCCTGAGGCTAGAAATGTCATGCCATACTTCAGTGATCCATCTGATGCCCCAGCGGAAGCTAAAGTGGTTGGACAGACTGTTTTACGAGTTCCAACATCAGCAATCTCAGAGTTGCCATCATTTCAAGGTGATTCAAAGTTTGATGGAGAGCTACAGTGTTGGAAAGCACATGCTTTGGCTGAATCAGACCTAGCAAACAGCAGCATTATACAGGACATTCAACAAGAGGTGGGAAATGCAGGATCATTGGAAATGCTTTTCACCACAGGAGGAGACACATGGCTCACCCTTGCTGAAAACCCTCCTGACCCAGTCTCCTTCTTGCCATGTGCATTTCATTTTATTGAAGAAATCATCCATGATATCATGGACAATGTTTTTGGAACTGACCACCAAGAAGAGACAGTGTCTGTGTCATCCAGCATTGATTTGTTTGCTACTAGCACCCCATATGTTCCAAGTGAAAGTCCTTGTCACAGCACAATGCCTAACCCTGCTGCACGTCGATGTTTAGATTTAGATGCTATAGAAGAAGAGTCATTGCCATCGCAAGACAAAGATCCATTGCCATTGACGCCTGGTGTTCAGGTGAGTGGGGTCTAGTGATCATTGGGACTTCTTAGTCATATTCTTCTGTTTCTTACTTTAGTTCTTTTTTTTTGTTTGCTAACACCTTTATGTAATTAAGAATGTAATTCATTTTTAGTTCATACAAGTTTCTATTAACATAGGTATCTTGTGAGACCTGGATACATTTTACTTTACCTACATATACATTGTAAGAAGGGATGGGATTTTTTTTTACATGTTTCTTTATATCATTATAATGCCCACAGCCTGCATTTGTGACCCCTAATGTTGATTTTCACGGAGCGGAGCCAATGTTAGTCTAAGAAGTGGAAAATTAAATCAGCACATTGAAATTCGCTGCACAAGCTGTGTGCATTTGTGGTGCCATTTGTGACTCTTAGGCATTTCTTACATAGGCAGGAACAAGATGAAGGGAAAAAATGAAAAACGAGATGAATGAGCTTACAGTAAATGCATGGGATGGCACTGGGTTATATATTTATAAAGCACTCTTTGATACACCAGGAATCCACATACCATGATTTAATAGTGGATGTTGTGGACAATTGTTATGAGTATATGATTCAAAATGTCATTTTATCGTCCTTTTCTGCGTTATTTCTTGCTTCATTGTACAATTAATCTAGCAAATGATGAATGATAGTTTAAAAGTGAAAGGTCAACATTCAGGCATTACTAAATTGGCTGCAGGACTAATACGTATTTAAAATTACTTGTTTTATTTTTTCGTGCTTTGAATCATGGTGTAAATTGTCAAAACTTGCTGTCAAATTGTCAAAAGTTGTTTAAAAACTAGATTCAAGATGCCAGATGGAGAAAATCAACAAAATAACCAGCAACAATAAAGGGCCGATCGCATGAACGATGTTTATTTTAGACATTGATTATCGATAGTAATTGTTTAAACATTGTCTACGCAAACATCGGTTAACCGCTGTCTACTTTCGATTGCTTGAACGATCCCTAAGCCGTGTTTTCATAGCCAATGGTTAGACGACAGCTAAACACCCCTCATGGTACATATACGAGTATTACGTTCTGACTCCTCGGTTGTCGCATAATATCCTTCGGACTCCACAAAAAACGAGCGAATCAAGTGAAAAAGGAGAACCTTTCTTCAGACTTGAGTACATCTCGCAGAGCTTGTAAGGAGAATCTAATGATAGAGAGAGACAGAATGCACTTTCCTTGCACAACAAATAATAATGCCTGGAAATTGGTGAGTTCTCCTCTGACCTTACTCTGTATTTCGATATATCAGAGGTAAAGCCAAGGATTCGTTTTGGACACACGGAGAAGTAGGAAGTGTGAAAATAGGAGTATCATTTATGTACGATTGCAAAATGAGGGCATTCGAGAATTGCGTGTGGATCCTGGTCTCACAACATGCAAATCGAAAGACTTTCATGATACTCTCTTTACTTTCGAGTCATATTAATTAATTACTCAGGGGATGGGTACTTGAACAAATAATTCATTGCACACGAACAGTGATTGCTCTTATCTGTCGATGTTAAGGGATCCCTTCCACGATCTTCGTTCCTTTCGAATTCAGCGAGAAGCAGCAGGTCGATATCATACCCTGATCCCTTTCCAAATCTCACGAGGAAGTTCTAATCAACATGTTCTTCAAAGGGATTAAGTACAGAACCTATGTTTATTCCTCCTATGCGACGACGAGAGCACATCTCCGTTATCGAGCGGATCCATAAACAGAATCCATTGTGCCTCACCAGTACACTGCAGCACTATACTCATCGAGATGGTACACGAACGCTGGCATAAATATCGGCAAAACATGCCCCATCCCTTGTCTGGAAACGACACCTTTTTCAGCTTCTGTTAGACATCGGTTAACCGATGACTTTCGAAAAACACCGGGAAAACATCGTTCATACAATCGGCCCCAAGAGTTTCAATGAAATTGCAAAATTGGTTGTAACATATTTAGCTTTTGCTAAAACCCTTCACAAGGTCTGTGTAAGTTACTTTCAGATTTGCAAGTCATTAAAGGCTTAGTAGGGTAAAACCACTTAAGTTCGGACACGGCTGCAAACATTGTTACAAAACTAAACATTCGCGGTACCGCCTTCAGAAACGGTTCTTCCTAACATGAAATGAACACGTTACTGAGCGAAGGAAAAGCAGTGGTCATCATGACTTTGCACGATTCAAAGATATTGGGTTTAGGCTAATTCTATATCGCGAACAGGAGGAATTCTTCAAGAAACCGTAAGGAGAGAACCTTACTTTTAAAACGTTTCACACGTGACTTTTTTGTTTCCTGTGCTCAAATCTTACTTCCCAGGAAACTAGAAGGGCATGGAGTCCTGTTACGCAGAATGCACGCGCATTGATCAGATTATTGTCTTACTTTCGGTGTGTCCGAACTTAGGTCAAGAAATGTTTGAGAAAGTTCGAACATACATTCATGTGTGTCATATCTGCGGAAATATGACGTCCTCTTGAGATAAAGAATGTTTAGAGTTGACAAAAGCTCAGTTGAGTCATGCTTTTCAGAGAACATGTATTTTTGAGCTCTGTTCGAGCTTTCATAACGGGACATGTAACTTCGGACACCGTCGAGCAAATATGTAAAAATACTGCTTCATATACCGGGTGAGCCAAAAAAAAAACGCGCCGCTCTTTGACATGTTGTGGTACCTCTAAAACAGCAGCTAGAACTATGAAATTCCTTTCATACACACCTCTATGCATCCTTTGAGCATTAAACAATATTTGGCTTGTCATCTCCAGCCGTTTTGGCACAAAAGCAACTGGAATTTTATTTTTGCACTCGCAACTGAACGCTGGCGGGAGGACCTGTCCCACAGAGGAATGACGTTTATTCTCAGGATTTTTCCTTCTGCACTTCAGAACTCGCTAAGCAAATCTCTGACTCGTCCTTACGTCTAGCAATTTGCATATAATAATTTTGCATCCCAGAATTATCATCTTGAGAAACAAAGACTTCTTCCACAGGATCGCAGTTTCCTTCAGTTCCAACTAATTTTAGTCTTCCCCACTTTCGCTTCCCCTCAGATAAAACGGTTCCTCGCAGCTCGTGAATCAATCTCTCAAAAATAGGCCTACATTTCTTTCATCCTTTACCTGAAAATTCTTGCAAAATTCTGCCTACCCCATCATTTCGCAAAGTGCAGCATTTTCATGGGGAGATGGAGGAACTCTGGCCCGAGATTTGTGCGCTCCACGCCTACCAACTGCTCTTCTGCTGATACATTTCCTCGCGAAAAAATAAAATTAAGAGTCGCCTTCGCGTTTTCGCTCCTGTGCAAAAACGGCTGGAGTAAAACGAAAAAGAATTTTTTTTTAGGACGTTTCAAGGATACGTAGAAGTCGTTGCAAAAAAAATTTGCCATGCTATCTTCAATCTCATGAACTCCAATGAATCTCGAAAAGCGGCGCGTTTTTTTTGTCGCACCCGACATTTATTCGCACACCCGTGTGCGGCGTACCTCCAAAGAAGTGGTAGGAGGTTGAAATGCAAGAGATTATCGATCCGAGTGTGTTGGCAAAGGCCATCAGGGCTTTAATTTGAGTGAGATGTCCTTGCGGAAGGCCAACATTGCATACGATGAACACGTCTGCTGGATGCATTTTCTTCTAGGAATTGTACCTCCAAATTCGGAGCGGGGATGGGATTTACAATGAAGGAAAGCAGGTCGGTTTTATATTCTCAAGATGAGAGCAAGGTGATAAGGAAAATGTTACAAAAAATGGATAATACAGTGCTGTGTGTGCACTCACTCTGTGAGTAGACAGACACACCCTAGTACATGAAGTGCTCAGTCTCTTGGGCAAGTTACTTTATCTTCATGATCATTAAGAGCTCCATAGTTATATTACTAACAGCCTATTCAAGTTTGATGTTAATGACAATCTGAAATACAAGGTGGGTCAGAAAAAGGTAACCGAAAGGTAATATATTTATTTCAGTTGTTACAGGAATATCTTGAATAAATATGTCTCAGTGTACAGTGAAAGAAAGGATTTGACTTGGTGAACATTATTTTAGAAATTATGATGAAGGCGAAAATGGTGGACTAATTAATTAATACAGCTGTTTTCATCATTTCCCAACAATTGGCTCCATAAAAATTCTTTTGCAAAGGCCTTTCAGTTGATGCTGAAGTTCTGGAACATGGGTAGAGTTGTCAATACCAAAAATGGGCATTATGGCAGGACTCTTTCTGTCCCTATAAATGAAAATTTGGGAATTGTGTCAAACATATGAATTTGTATTATCAATGACATTATCCAGAGGAAGGAGCTATGTTTACAGTGCAATGGTAGACATGGTCAACATGCCATCCATTGGTAAATCTGTTGATATAAAGTCTAAGAATGATTAAAAACAATGGTTCCTATATTAAACATAGTTTTGTAAAGATAAAATATGGAATGTCTAAAAATCTTTAAAAATCCATATGGTTTCAGTTACCTTTTTTTGGCTTACCCTGTATAACACTGTACAAGAGAACTCAAGCAAGTTTAGATGTAGGCTCTGTACCTCCTGTGTGTCACATAGTGCTCAAGGGTCATGCTTCTACTATTATTAGTTTAACTGATGACTGTGCATCAATTAAGCACCCCACAACTTTGCAAATTTGGAGGTGAGTTCCATGGCCCTTTCTTAATATACTGTTGAAAGCAAAAATGTTTATAACCAAGTAAACAATATTAATTAACTCACTTAATTTGGCTGCTTGCTCAGGATGTCATTGATTTTCTTGAACTGCCATCTTACAATTGGTTTTCAAACTACCTCCAGACTTATTTTTCCAATTTGCATCACCTAAAAAAAACCAGAAAATTTAGCAGGCAAGTAATATGTAGCAAGAAAACTTGCTAAGGTGAATGCATCCCAAATAAAAAATAAAAATGTCAATTATCACAAATGTTTCATGCAGGCATTATGAGGATATCTAAGGAAGCAAAAGCTGGATATAAAATCCAGAGATGATTGTGATCATTCCTGTAACCAGCCATGAATTCCAGTGACAGGGTGTATAGGAATGCAATAGGAATTTGTTATGTAGACAGAGAGCCAAGTTAGAGTGAAGCTGCGACCATCATCAAGCCAGCTGGAGGGACCAACTCCAGATCACACTTTTATGTTTGGAGTCAGTCATCAAGGACTTCAGGATGCTGCTGGAAAGAGAGAGGTTCATCTCATCTCACTGTTTTCCTCCTTTGTGCATTTAATTGGAGAAGAAATGTAGTTTTATTCCTTGCAGCACGATCACCTGATGCTTTTGAGTGTAGAATTGCACACAGAGTCCCGTGGGGATTTACTTCCTGATCCAGAATTTGATGCCATTGCAGCTATATTTTACTCCTGGTTCCAGGATGATGGTGTCAGCAATTCTCTGAAACCACAGACTGGTTTGTTTGTCATTGCTTTCAGTTTGCTCCCCTTGAAGGTGCTTGGGACAAAGGGTGGCTAAATATTGTTTCAGCAGAAAATAATGTTGCCTTTGCTATGATTTGATAATGAATCAAAAGCATTGATGTTTGCATCTTATTGCCTTCTTTATCTTCTGTCTTCATTGGCATCCTTGACTTATCATATTTTTTTAAATAGGTACTAACCTGCACCTGCCTACACACCCCTCTTTTTTGTGCATATTAGAAGTGTTAAATGCTGGAGGGTGTATGCTTACTGTATTGCTTTTCTGCTTCTGAGTGTCCATGAAATTCAGATTTGGGGTTTGAGCTGCTTCAAGAAGATATGGTTGATGCCATTCTCATGAACCATTGTTATCCACTTATGCTTGATGTTGACAAATTAAACAGTGTTTCACTTGTGAAGTCTGAGAAAGGGAGGCTGTGTGTTGCTATTTCCTCAGGGGCTGCATGTTCACTTCAACCTTGCCTGACCTTGATGTAATTCTTGTGTCTATTCAGACTAGGGAAAAGTGTAAAAAAGTTTTGTTTTTACAAATTCATGAAAAGGCCAAAAAGTCTGCATTGGATGAAAAAAAAATTTCATTAAATAATTTTTTTATTTGATTAATTGTTCATGCCTATAGGATGCTTGGAAGTGTCTCAGAGTCTTGTCTTTCTTTTGTTATCAATTTTTTGATGTGATACCAATGACATTGAAAATTTGAAGTAAATTTTCTTTAAAATTTATTTTTTCAAATCAGATTTTATGTAGCTTATCCTTATGAGTTCACTGGCAACATCACTACTCACTGGCACTCAGCCCAGTTCTAAGTGTCTATTAGTTGATGTCTGGTAAGATATGATCTGGTTTGCAGTTTGATACTAAAAAAATTATTTCAGTCTCCCAGCAAGCAAAATGCTTGACTTTTTAAAAAGATTTTATTGACAAAATGTTGCTAATTTAAACATAAAAATGCCTGGCAAACATTGACAGGAACGTTAAGAGGTTGGTTTTTTGGAGGGATTGTGGAGTCAACTTGATAATAAGGTCAAGTTAGATATACATTTAACTCAACCTTCAGGTGTTCAAGTCTTGTAATTTACCCTGTCTTAAAATAATAGCAGAAGATCCTACTTGATATAAATTAATTTGTGATGATGTGGGAAAACCATATCCTAGCCTCACAGCTATAATTTGGTGGATACTTGGTCTCTGTCAGGGTTGATGATATCATCATTGTCCAATGAGATTTTCATGGCAAACTTTGCATTCTTGAACAATATTCTTCCAAAATGTTATGCCTGCTAATAATCAGTTTGTTTGGAGGATTGAAGAAGAGATATGGGAATTCTTCCCTAAATATTTTTCATGAACTTGAATCATGTATGATTGTATCTAGGAGTCTTGGTGCGAGACATAGATTCCTTGAATAAGGAGGCTCCCATGACCCATTGTCTCTTGTGGAAAAGTGGAATAACCTCCATCCCTGTTGAATATGTGGCTGATGAAACCTCGCTCATCTGGGCTCTCGTCAACCTAGTCCACATCCTTGACCCGGACATTCTTGTTGGATATGAGGCAAGTCTTCTTGCCACAATGCTAAAGTGTTTGCAAGAGACTGATTTCTCTGGAAATGTAGCATCTGTTACTTTGTTTATGCTGATTGCTTAGTATATGATGGGGAGCACAAAGACAAAGCAACTATCCATATATGTGGTAGAAATTTGGGGGAAATTATTACACTACAGAGGTTGAGCCACAGTGATTTTGTCTTAGAAATTTTAACTTTTGACAATCCTTTATCAGGGTTCCCACAAGAAAATCAAAGCTGTTGCCCCTGACACACTGTTGCTGCTCCCTTGGCTCCTACACAACCCACACCTTCACATCCCCATTCAAAGTTTCCCTCTCCACAGATTAGGTTTCTGCCTGTACTTCCATCCTCAATAATCCCTGCCACCCTCCCCTCTTCTGGACCTACTCTGTGTGAATCCTCTCTCCAAGGTCAGCATGAGTGAGTGCATTCCCTTCAGCTTAGCTCATCCCTCAGTATTGCATACTCATATGCCACAATACAGGAGGTATGGAGAAAGTTGCAAAGGAAATTGGGAAAAGCAAAGAAAACTCTTAGAGGAGAGAGTTTCTACTACCTCCCAAATCTTCCCCCACTTGGATCTGAACCCTCCCATTACTCTACCCTCAGGGGTTCAAAAGCTGTGCATTTTTCAGTGCTGGCTTGCCAGCTTCAAGGATTTCCAATGGGGAACTCAGCCTTTTTAGTGGTAGTCATGGGGTAAAGATTAGGAAGCCATAAGAAAATCACATTTTCTTACATTCGAAGCCCACCTAAATGAGCTGCCTCTGATGTACAGGGTAGGCCAAAAACTGGACAGTTTTCAACAATACACTACACTTCACTCACTGCATATATATTAATGCATTTTGTGGCATTTGAAAGAGAGGAATGAGTGAGCTTTAAAATGGTGTACTTACATTTTAAATATCTTTTTCAGTTTTAGAAATGCAGACGCTCATGTGAACAGCAAACAAAAACTGTGTAATTGCACACTTGGATGCAGACAACATGTGACCTTCACCTGTCCATCCCCACTGCTGCTGCAAAAAAATGCCTGAAACTTCTTCCATCCAAGAAATTTAATGAAAGTTCAACTTATTGCATGATCTTTAAAACTGATCTCCAGCAGCTGCAGCTGTAGCAGCTATTTTTAATCCACTGATGGTGAAAGGCCTAATTGAATATACATTCTAGATTTAAAAACAAATAGCTGAAATGAAACTTTTTTGTAGTGTCTGTCAGAAAGCATTGATATCCAAACTGGTTTTTCACCTCAAGACATTCTCCCTGTCGGATTTCTTCTGTGGGAGAGATAAAAGAAGGATAATTTTCATAGCCCCATGCCTTAGTGCAACTAACTGTATAAGAACTGGCATGATGGTAACAAGAATGATAGCACATGAGCTTACTCTTAGCAGCTTATCATAAGTCATTGTGTCATCATTGTCAGTTTATATTGTGTAGTTGAGATGAACCTACTCTCTAATGTATGATTTGTTGAAGTGACAGTTTTTAAAATTTATTTTTAGATTCAGCACAGTTCCTGGGGGTATCTGATGGAGCGAGCAGCTCACCTAAACATCATTCTCCCACCTAAGCTGTCGCGCATCCCTGAGGATCAAGGGAGTCAAATGGATGAGGAAATAGATCCATATGGAGCAGAGCACTCTTCTGCCATCCGCATTGTAGGCAGAATCACTCTGAATCTTTGGCGACTCATGAAGTCTGAGGTTAGAATGCAGCTCAAGTTTTTATCAAGAATTAAATATACTATATTGATATCAATATATAACGTATGAATAAAGTGAGAAATAAGAATGTACTTCATGAAAAAAATAGGTTTTTGCTGATAAGATCTGATCAAATAAACCTCGGTACTTTCTCATCTATGACTAAGCATTAAATGGATCTGCTTATGTGAACCATAAGGTACCTTAATATGAATTGACAAGTTGCTTGGTTCTACACCATTTGCATTGCAATGTTCCTTAGTCTTCCTTGTCACTTGAGTTTTTGGCATTGAAACCTTTTAAGTTGGTGGCTCTTAAAACTTACATATGATTGAAATTGTGTCTTGTGTTTTCTGCTTTATCATGAATTACTTTGATTCACTCATCATGTAGGTGGCTCTCATGTCCTATACATTTGAGAGCATGGCATTCCACATCCTTCATGAGCGTGTGCCCAAGTTCAGTCATCGAAAGCTTCATGGTTGGTGGAATGGTCCAACCCAGCTCAATCTCTGGCGGGTTGTAGAGTATTATGCTTATAGGGTCAGTGGGAATCTGGCCCTGATGGAGAAGCTGGACCTGGTTGGAAGAACCTCTGAGTTAGCCCGACTCTTTGGAATCCTCTTCTTTGATGTTCTTTCACGAGGATCTCAGGTGGAGCATTTCTTTGAAGAACTAAAATAAGAGAGGTCTTTATATGGCTTCAGAAGTTCAACTTTTATTTGCTTTTATTCCTGAGTTAGCTTTTTAATCCTTTTCTCATCTTCTCTCAAACCCCATATTGTGATGTCTTAGTTAGATATGACACCACTACAAAAGTAAGATATAAGCTAGAGGAGAAACTACAGTGAAAATAACAATGCCTATTCAATTACAAGAAGCACCCTGACAACATGCAGAGATGTGGAATGATCTGTATTTACAATGTATAACAAAAAAAATAATAAGACTGAGTTATTTAAAAAAAATAGCTACAGGGTGGTCCAAAAGAAGGTAAGTGAAATTTGTTTTTCATTTCATTTAGGCTCATCTATGCTTGAAAGGGTATTTCAGCAATTTTGGACTAAAGCTGAACAGCCAAAATATTCAGGTCAAGTTAGGAGAGTAGGGTGAAGAAGAGGGATGCCTTGCTGGTCTAGGTAGGATGTCATTGGCATTTCTGCATAAGGGTCAGCATTATCATGGTGAAGTAGCACTCATAATGTTCCTGTCTTTGGTCAGGATTTCCCAAAATCTTTGAAGACCACCAGAAAAACTTGCTGAGTATAATATAAAGCTATGATGGTTCTAGTCTTTGGCATCATATCAACAGTCATAGAACCTTTAGAATTGAAGAAGTTGGTGAACATCCTCTTCTGCCTTTTGAAATCAGGCTTCACAATTTGAGGGCAAGGCTCATCTTTTAAAAGCCAGACCATATTTTTCATTGTGAAGGAGGATATGTAACATTCATTACCTGTGACAATATGAGAGAAATACATTGGACCATTGGATTCAAACATCTTGAGTAGTCTGCCACAAACTTGTACACTTTTCAATTTCTGACTTCTTCAGATGAGGGACCCCATTTTGCACACCTCTTGGTTTTCTTCAAACCATCATGGGCAAAGGTGTGCACACTCCTGTGACTGTCAAGTTCAAGAGATAAACCTTTTTGAGTGACACTAGGATCCTAGTGAATAATTGCATCACCACAAGCAATTGTTGCTTTGTTCTCATAAGTTCTCAAATGTCCAGATCAAGCTCTATCTTTGCAGTTCTAGTTTTCTGGCTTTAAAATTCCATATCCACCTCTCTGTGTCAAAGGGGCAAGCACCTTTACCAGAAACAGACCAAATCCTGATGAATCTCCTTGTGAAATCTATTGGGGAAGTAGCCATCGAGAAATATGCTTTCATATAGGGTAAAAGACCCAGTGATGGGGCACAGCACATAAAAATTCCAATAGCTAAACTTCCATAGCATGCCTACCCATGTTGTGACATAGGCTAGCGGCATTCAAGCACATTGACACTTCAGAGGTGGTCATGGAACGAATACCTAGTTTTTGGAATTTTCCTGCGAAGTGGCCCATCACTGGGTCTTTTACCCTACCCCTTAACCCTCTGCAGGAGGTGGATATGATAAAAACATAAGTCAGAAGTTGAAATGCTTTTGAAGAACCAATGTGTATCAGAAAAAGAGCTGAGGCATAGGATGCTACACTGAAACCTTCAAGAATTTTTAGTTGCATAACTTTTTGATCACCCCTTGTATATGAAATAACTGAACTGAGCATTGGTATTCCATGTTACAATTGTAGTACCGAGTGGAGTCAATGATGCTTCGCCTGGCTAAGCCTCACTCCTACATTCCTGTGTCACCAAGTGTCACCCAAAGGGCTAACATGAAAGCCCCTGAATGTCTCCAGTTGATCATGGAACCAGAATCCCGCTTCTATGCTGACCCTGTCATTGTGTTGGACTTCCAGAGCCTATATCCTTCTATGATGATAGCCTACAACTATTGCTTCTCCACCTGTGTTGGACGTGTGGATCTCCTTGGAACGTATGTAAAGAACCTTCTTCCTCTCTTTGGGGCAGCTAAATTTAACTTTACAATAATGGGCTTGTATTGTGCCTCTACTTTCTTAATGTGTAGATTAGCATCAACTGTATTGATTATATGCTCACACATATGCTATAAGGTAGGTTTGATGAATTAATCAAAATGTTTGATGGATTATTTTGTTGCATGGAGCTCATTACAGAATGGGTTTGCTGAGTGCATAAATAGATATAATTAAATATTTGCTGGATTATATCTTAAGCAAGAATATGTGAAGGTAACTATTAGCAAATAGCCACATTCATTTTGCATGAATTCATGCAGGGAGAACACATTTGAATTTGGGACAACCTGCTTGCAAATCCCCCCAGAAGAGGTCCATGACTTGATGGAAAGGAATAACCTTAACATCTCTCCATGTGGAGTGGGTTTTGTGAAGGCTTCAATTCGGAAGGGGATCCTGCCACAGATGTTGGAGGAGATTCTCAACACTCGCATCATGGTCTGTCTATTTTGCTTTATTTACATCAGTCCTAAATCCCAGCTTTTGCTTCATAATAGCTTCATAGTAGGCAAGGTGATGGAAATTAATTGTATATCAGATGGGGTTTTGGCCAGATAACAGATAAAGGATATCCTGATATGCAATTCAGATATCCAGCCAGAACTGGAACCAGAGCTGGGTAGTTGTGCATGCTATCTGTCTTAAACTTTCCTTTGTAAAGGTTATCTCATCTCCTCTGTTGTTTGTTTCCTCTCACCTTTTATCCAACAAGGATGAGACAGGTATAACTGGAAGAAGCTAGGTGCCTCTCCTATGCTGAGGAAGTGTAGTAATATGAAGTTCCATTTATTTTTTATAGTCAATTACCTTTTTATTGGAATTTTGGTTGTCAATGATGCTGATTACCTTAAATGGAAAAAAAATAGGTGCCTCGAATGATACAGGGGAAAGAGAGAGGGTGATCAAGGGAAAGCAGAAATAATCTTGTTAGAGACTTGGACAGGACTTATTGTTTGCAGAAAGAAGTTTCCTTTGCATGATGTCTGCATTATTTTTTTTGTCTTCATTATTTTTGTCCCAGTTCTAATAAGCTAGGCTTCAATGGATATATGCAGAATTCTTACACAGGTCTGTTTGGCAAGGTCAACAAAATCCTCGACCTGAAGAATTTATCATCCCCATTCTGCCAATTCCCTTTTTGCTTTTTTTTCCTCACTGGATGAGGTCGTTCATTCCTGTTCTCTGCCCATTCCCACCCCCCTTTGCCACCTCTCCACCAGTTACATGGTCCCCATCCTGGATGGATTCGATCTCCTTTGAATTTACCAAATAGGCCTGATAATGGAAAGAGACAGGATGTGCAGTACTTCATGAATGAAAATCACAGCATTTCAAATGACAAATCGCTGTCATTGCAAGAATGTATGACATGTAGTTTGTGAGTATCTGACTGTGGTAACTTTTACCTGTTTCAGGTGAAGCAGTCAATGAAGCTGCACAAGGACAACAAGGCTCTGAAACGTATCCTCGATGCACGTCAACTTGGCCTAAAATTGATTGCCAATGTCACTTATGGATATACATCAGCCAATTTCTCTGGGCGAATGCCTTGTGTTGAGGTCAGTCTTTCTAATCTCCTTGCTGAAGGGTCTGTTTTAAGAAGGAACTAATACTTTGTATTTTATGCAATTGTTGGGCTGTACACTTTACTCTTTCCATGGTGTACTGGAAGATGGTTTGTCTGAATGGTTTCTAATGTTCTGGTTTGTTGGGAAGTTTTATTTATTTATTATAGAGCTCTTGATGCTGCTAACATTATACATAAGAGAGGTGGTGGTCTGGAGTGCATCCAATTCCTCACTCTGAATCTGTTTTATGGAAGGAGCTGCATCCCAGGGAGTTGAAAAAAAATTGAAAACTCCTTGCACATTTGAAGTTTGTTTTTTTGCTCAGGCCTTATGCTTCAACCTTTCGATTATAATTCTAGTTACCATCACTACTTCATGAATTTCATCATTCTTTGGCAGCTTGCAGAATTGAACATGCTGAAATGGGGAAGCTTTATTGTTTGTGGAAATCAGTCCGAGATGGGGCTGTGCAATAAATCAATATGATTTTATTTGTTTTCTTATGAAATTGTAGCCATATTGATGTTGTCCATTTTCAGGCTAAGTTATTGGTTATCATGGATAATTTATAGCCAAAATAGATCTTTCCAGTCCAATTCACCCAATAGGCTGTGGCATATCCATATTAAATTTTTTTTCAAGTCTCTCCTCAGCATTGATAAGGAAACATTATTGCAAAATGTTCAGCTTCCTTTGGAAAATACTTTTCAGGGTAAAAAATATTCAAATTTGGGGGAGTAGCATAGTTGAGTATTAATAATGAAAATTAAAAAATAAAAACAAGATATTTAATTAGCTATATTTTCTGAAGTTACTGACTGAACTTGATTTGACTGGTTTGATGGAAAGAGGAAGAAGAGTAATCAATCATGTTCATTGATAATTCAAGCACTTGTCATCCCCTGAATACAGAAAACAATTTTTTCCAAGGGTGCAAAAATTGTATTGTCTATGTCTCCTGTCTGCATTCAGAGACAATAAATTTCACTTTCAGGTGTAAAACTCTAAAAAATATCCTATTTTCAATAGAGATGCAACGATATTGAATTTTGGTCGATATCTGATATACCGATAATTCCGTGGCTTGCTTGAAATCAGTCAGTATTGACTTCGGATCCATCCCTGGCTTTTTCTTGCGGATGATAAGAAGGGTCTTCATGTATGTCTCTTTCAATTTGTATGGAAGCAGAGCAAAGATCCAGGGGAGAGACGTCTTGAACTGGCAGGCATCACTCGAAGTGAAATGAATAGCCACAATATACCATAATGATATATTATCTTTTTTGCAAATGCTCCAAACAGCAGCATCTTAATTTCCTCCCCATACTCCAAGGGGGGCACGAGTGGGTTGTCTGTCAATACTTGACTTTGGGGTTGTCTAAAACACTATTTAAAGATTTTCTCATATGATCATCAGTAGGGAGCTCCACCACTCAGCCTTCCTTCTGATCAATGCGCCCCTATCTCCGAGATAATTGCAGGTGACCGGGCATTCTCACGTCAAACTTCACATGTCACACTTAAATTATCCCATTGCCATCAGAGTGTGTCCAAAGCATGGGTTAAGTAGCTTATCCTACATGCCTGATCTGATCTCAAATGACCTGTTTCCCATGTTTTCCTGTGCATTCCTGGAAACAATCCTACTTTCATTGATCTGGTGTTGAAACATTCTAGAATCTTGCGAATTTCCTTCTTTATGTTCATATTTTATTACGTTGTTAATTTATACTCTGATAGCACATAGCATTAAATCAATGTTGATTCAATGTTATGTACTACTAGGGTATATTTATATATCAATTGGGCATTTGTGGGAAATGGGCTTTTTCCTGTATATACTTTTTGTATATTCGATCGAGGATATGGAATTTGAGATTCCGTCCATTCAAGATTCTGTCTGCATACTGCTTATGGTCACATTTCTTGGATTTGACATAATGGCTGAAATCTCCAAGATGGGACATTTTGTAAGCTTCATATTTGGCATGCCTTGACCAGAAAGAAGATTGAGATTGTCTCCAAGTTTCAACTGTGTGTCATGATAAAATACAGAGGAATGCTCAAGAGCCTGTACTGGCATTTTGACACTGCTGAATTCCTTTACATGATTGGTTCTCTCAGTAGTCCCCTCCCACTGCTCTCATTATCATGCAGAGTCATTCATAAACATGCTCATATGATGCCAATTTGTTTCAGGTAATTGCTCATGGAAGTTACAGAAGCCTTGCAATTAGTGACTGAAGAGTCTGGCACCTGCTGATAATTGTAATTCTCCCTGCACATATGCTTGAGTGTATTTCCCACTGAAGGTGGAGGCAAATAACAGTCCTTTAGTTGATGTGGCAATAGGCAAGATGACAGCATGCAATGGAATTAATAAAAGGATAAACATTTAATTAATCAACTTCACAGCTCATATCATCACCTCTTGTTTAAGATAGAAAATCAGAAATTTTATATTTTTTAAAGGACTCTTTTCCTTGAGTAGATGGCATGTCATATCATGATGATGATTTCTTCCACTATGTATATTATTTTTCTTAAGCGTAACACATTAACCACCATTTGACACAGTGTGTTACAGCACATGTTTTGTACCACACCAAGGGTAAAATTAAACATTTCAGTGTGATATGCTGGCATGTCATGCAGTGCCATAGGAAAGAGTTAACAAAACTACCTTGGTGGTCATTGAGTTAATGTATTCTGCTTTTATAGGAACTGACAAAAGTTTTATTTTATGATATTTAAATTATATTTTCTACACAAATTCATGTAAACCACACACCTTCCATGACCTTCTTCCTCCTCTGGGATTGTTTTTTTTCCCAGCTGAATCCAAGAAGCAGGCTGCATTAGAGATAAGCTGCATTTGCTGTCATTTGCCTGATAGGTAGGAGACAGTGTGGTGAGCAAAGGCAGGGAGACATTGGAACGAGCAATTCATCTGGTAGAGAACAGCTCAGAGTGGAGTGCAAAGGTGATCTATGGGGATACTGATTCTTTGTTTGTACTTCTACCTGGGCGCACCAAGGAGACGGCATTTCAAATTGGCTTGGAGATGGCTGCTGCCATCACAGCTGACAACCCAAAGCCTGTGAAGCTTAAGTTTGAGAAGGTCTACATGCCTTGCATCCTCCAGGTCTGTCTTTCTTGCTCCTTGTGCAAGAATTCTAAATAGCATTGCATGGCTAAACTACTAAAAAAAAATCTTAAATGCACTACTCTCTCAAATGAATATGAATGAAACAAAATGATAAAGAATTGCCAAAATATTATATCTCCAGAAAGCCAAAGAACTCTTTTCTACGAGGGTTGTCTGAAAAGTTCTCTGCATTGATTTTTAAAATGAGTTACACTTGATGAAACACTCAACAGTGAGTTACACTCACTGCAAGATATTGCATACAGTTGCTATGGATGCCTCTGTTGTGCAAGAATTATTCTTGAAACATCGCATTCAAGTCATCATTGAGTTCCATGTTCTGCTCAACAACACACTGACAGAGATCCATCAACTGATGTCAATGACTTTTGGCCAACACTGTCAGCTTACGAGACAATCCAGAAGTGGTCAAAGCTCTTCCTGGAGGGGAAGATGGATCTTGAAGATGAGCCTTGACTGTTTACAAACAAAGCTTTGTTGGGAAATGTAGACACTCTGGATGTCTATTGAGAAGAACTGACTTTGATGTGAATGTGATGAGTTGAATTTTTTTTCATGGACAGGGTTGCTTGAGTTTCAGATACATGGGACTAAGATGTGTTTGAATTCATATTGTTCAGGATTAGTAGAGTTTATATTTACAGAATGCAAGAGTTACAAAACCCATAGGGTAACTTAGGGGAATATGGCCCTCCATTATAAATCCCCTAAGAGACTGAAGAATTTGTTTAGGTGAATTTTAAAAATAGTTCTTTCAAACAGTACAAGCAACTGTCAAATTATTTAAACCTTTTCATTAATCCAGTTCTCACAGGAATTCAGGATACATAGATGTTTTGAAAGTCATATCTATGCAATTGTACAACTCATGACCCTGAAACTAACCCCAAGTAACTTAAGTGTACATTTCCTAATAGCATCATGGAATCAGAAACCACTTGTTCAACGTTATTCTGTGGTCCCTCCAGAATGCTTGTGGAAAGTGCTAACCTCTTCACTTGTGGTTTTTGAGCAGTTTTGTCAATTTTGTCTTGCAAGCAAGTGGAATATGGCTTTCTCAATTTGGGGTGATATGGACGCATTCTTGGTTTCATGGTAGCATGGCACTGACCTATTAGCAGTGTCAGCTTCCTTTCATGTGGGACCTCTGGCCACAAAAGATCATCCTATGCACATCCTTTGGATGTACAAGAAGACATACTGGTCATCTTGACATAATATGCAGTGCATGAGGAGGTGGTGCATGAGAATATCCTTGTGCAATGCCTCCTGGACATCCACTTGACAGACTCCAGAAATTTTCATGGCATGAAATTTAAATGCAGGTAAATGTCCCTTGTACAAAGAGTTAAAATCTCTTTCTGCAATTTTTTGGTACTATTTATGTATACTTGCAAAACAATGCAACATTTTTCCCACAAAGTAAGACCCCTTAGTTCGCACTTGTACTGCATGATCACTTAAATCTATGGTTAAGCACTCCTCTTATGCCCACAGTCTCTAGATACAGTCTCCCAATCATATGCAATATTTCCCAAAGCCAAATATGTTGCAATCCTGCTTTTCACAACAGCTCCTTGAGTCAGGTAATGATGTAGACTTCTTTGTTTGTCCTCAATGTAGTTACTGGTTCTTTTTCAACTACTGAGCTTCCTTTTCTATGCTTCAAGGTACTCTGCATGTTTCAAGATGTTTCACATGTAACTCAAAAACCCTGGGTTGTTTTTTGAGAAGAGGCCATATTACCCCAACAATAGGGGTAATATGGCCTCTTGGGACCAACTTGGAAAGGATCCAAAGGGGCTATATTCATGCATTTTTTTGCATGTGTCTTGCTGGGATTTAGTAAAGAAGATATAAATCAATTTTTTAGAAACATACGAAAAGTCAAATTCGACCTTGAATGGCCATTAAGACCAGGTTTCATTTTTCAGGACCATATTCCCCCAATTACCCTATGGTATTCCCATGATGCACAGCACTTCTCCAAACATTATATCTTCCTAACAATGAAATCTTGTGAGTATTTCATGCATTCACTTTAAATATTAAAAAAGCTTAAAAACATTCATCCACTTGAAAAAAATAAGTAAAAAATGGATTCTCTCAGCTTTTCTTTGTTCATTTTTATTTTTAAAAGAGTAAGATCAACAGAATCTGAAATAGGAGGTAAGGAGTATTTGTATTTTAGGCTGTATATAGTCCCATTCTTGAAATAGTTATTTTTTTTTTAACCCCTTGAACACATATAACACACTCATATGTGTCATGGAAAAAATGTTACTGATACACATAATACTCACAGGTTGCTCATGGTGAGTGCTCATGGGAAAGAAAAGTATCAAGGGAGGAAGTAAAACCTGAAGTTACTGCATTTAAGTAAAGAACTTTAGTGGAAACAAAAAATTATTTAAGAAAACAAATTTCTGGCCTATGATAGGCATGAAATTGTCCAATGCTTGGTGTGTTCAAGGAGTTAATGTATGCCTACTTGCCTCAATGCCTGCAAAGTTAGTTGGTGATGCTATCCAAATAACAGTACTTGTACTTTATAAAACCAATTCAGATTATGATAGAACCCTGAAAGAAGTTTATAATGTGGCAAAGGTCCATCATTAGAGGTTTATGATAATAAATATGTATTTCTCATTCCCATGATGGATTTGTCGTCAGATAATATACCCCAGTAGGAAGTGGAAATGACTGAAAATGGTTTTCACATCAACATAACACAATATGTTCTATTTAGATTTTCTCAGTTCTGAATAGCATTCCCCTGCTTTTAAAAATATTTTATCCTCAGTGGATGGAAGTTTGGTTTATTTAGCTTGCAGCTTTATATGGGGATGCATTTGTGTGCATTAAAGTAATCAGTGTTGCTAAAATGTGAATTTCTTTTGTTCTTGCAGACTAAAAAGCGATATGTGGGCTACATGTATGAATCTCCAGATCAGAGGGAAGCAGTATATGATGCGAAGGGCATTGAAACTGTACGTCGAGATGGGTGCCCTGCTGTTGCCAAGGCATGTTGTCTGCTTATCAGTTTATATTGGAAAGTAGTCAAATTTGTTCAAAAGCCCATCAAAATTGTGGAACCTCTATATGCAGATCTTGGAGAAGATGCTTCGAACTTTATTTGAGACTCGAGACTTGTCTAGGGTGAAGGGATATGTCCAACGTCAGTTCCAGAAGATTGTGTCAGGTCGGGTGAACATCCAGGATCTAACGTTTGCCAAGGAGTTCCGGGGTCTTGGAGGATATAAGCCTGGTGCTTGTGTTCCTGCACTTGAACTCACACGGTCTGCCTCTTCTACCTTGTTTTTTTCTTGAAATTCAAGCATTTCATGGAACATAACAAGTGCTCTGTTTTCATGACTAATGCTTTCTCTTCATCAAAGTGTTTAAATGCTTTTTAGGGATATGCTGATACGAGGTTTCATTGAATCACACAAAATTCATTATTGGTTCTTTACATGTTAGTTAAACATTAGGGTGGTCCAAGAAAAATTTTTTTAGGTCCAAATCTTACCCTTCCATTTTTCTTGTACATATCCCAAAAGAAAATTGTATGAAAATTTTCAGCTCACACCATTGATATTTAGGGATAGCTCAATGAGCTTCAAATTCAGGACAATAGCCCTTATAGTATACCAACTGTTATAATGTAATATTGCATCATCAGCTTTTTTTCATTGATGCAATATTGTTTCATGTGACTCTTCTTTCCCCTCAGATTATTACAAAATGAGTTTAAAAAAAGAAGTGGCAGGGTTCCAAAGACCTGAAGTAATTCTGAAATATGACTCCTTGGGCTGTTTTTTGTGTGAGATTCCTGTAGCTAAATTACCTTCAAAGTACAAACACTGCAACTATTCTTTCACCTCTGTCACTCAATAGCAATCCATGAAAGTGCAATAGAAACTGTTTAAGAGGTGTCAAAGTTTTAGGAAAGAACAAGAATACCAACAACTCAAGAATAGAATGCCACAAAGAAGTTGGAGAAGCTTGGAAAATGCCAAAACTTGAAAAGGAATAGAAAAAGAAAGTCAGAAAAGCAAAAGAACAATGAATGTGAATTTATATCAGAAATGAAGTGACTGTTCGATATTGCTCTTGAAGATGCTATGAAAATGATAAAATTTGATGATGAAGAGTTTTTGAAACAATGAAGAGATGGAAGGAAAGGACTTAGAGTTCAGTAGATTGTCAATTTGCTTGAAAAGAAGAAAGACAATTGATGAGGAAAGCTTATGAATATGTGAAGTGTGAAGGAGGAACATCAAAACCTGAACCAACTGAACTTGCTACTATAACTGATTCTTCATTTTCACTCAGAAGATGACAAAGACTTCATGGCTCCAAAGCAAAGCAAAAAAGATTTAGATAGCAAATAAAAGGAAGAGTTTCAAGAAAAAAAATCAAAATTTGTTTGCCAGTTAACTGCAACTTTCAACTGAGTCAGAACATCAGATATTGAAACCACCTTTGTCATTGCTGCAATTTCCCAAGGTCATAACATCAATGTAATTTATTTCATTATTTTGAAGCATTGTGTGAAAGATGAGGATTCAAAATTGGAGAGAGACAGCTGAACAAGTGAGAATGGATTTCAGCCCAAAGGTTCCTGTGGAAGCCATAAGCAACATTTATTGTATCAGAGTGAACCATTAGTAGCATTGAGTTTATTCTTGAGCAAATTGACAGATGCAGAGGAAAAGGAAATAAATCAAATATTTTGAAAGGCAAGAAAAGAAGAAAAACAAGAAGATTGAAAAGGACTAATGTTGATTATCCAAAAAGTATTTAAAAATTAAAGATTTCATGCCTCCAATCTCAATGTCCTTACTAACCCCACTCAATATTTATCATCATACAGTTTATTCCCTATGAAGCAATTGCCATATCAGGTGGACACTCAATATTGATCAATGGTTTTTACTTGAGCCTTCTTCTACATGGAATGACATCAAAGAGTACAAGAGTGCTGTTAGAATTAGAGTTTAAGGGTTGTCAAGGATTGTGATCAACCAGTAGTGAAGTTGATCTGACTGCAACCAAATCATCACCAAAGATGAAAAATATAAACAACACCTCCTCCAAGTTTTTGAAAAGCATTGGAAAGGTTTCAAAACAAGCAAAAAATCAACACTGGATTAGAAGCATGAAAAAAACAAAACAGGTTAACAATAAACAGTTGGTAACTGCAAACCCCCCTTCCCCATTTAGGGGCTAGTAGTTACAGAACATGAGGGAGACCTAGATGCTAGACCACATCACCAAGGCTATTAGGAAAAAACCAAATGTCCATTGAATCACTTTGTAAAAATGCTCCAATTAAGCTGAAATTTTGCACAGAAGTTTCTATTTAGAAGTGTACAAAGATGAAAGGTATAATAATTTTAAAAAATTCCAGATTGAAAAAAGTGCTTTTTTCAGACCACTCAAATATACATAGGTTCATTCAGTATTGGCCAATGTCAACACCAGGTGAATATTGCAGTTTTTGACAGAATGCTCTGAAAGGGGCAGAATGACTGCATAGGCTACTGCTGTCATCACAAGATAAACTTACTTTCTCTAATGCTTTGCATGGAATGGTTCATGTTAGAATTGAGAATGTGTGCAACATTTTTTAATGCTGTGTCTCCTGCTGGATTTCACTGTACAGATTATTCTAGAATTCATGGGAATAGTGATTTTGCCCAGATGATGTCTCAATCTGGATTATTAAAAACCTGACTTCATTATTTATTATTCATTATTTTTTCCTGGTGAAGAAAACTTCATCCCCAGTGTACTGCAAGGTGCCTTCATTTATTTCCCCCATGAAATTGGGCATTGCCGACTCAGTTCTTTTAATGTTACCTGTATAAACTTTTTTTTCTTCATATTTATTCTCACAAAAAGTTTCTGTTGGGTCACATTGACGTTGACGTTCCTTTCCTCTCTCCCTCGAAGAGGGAGAGAACTAAAGAACGTCAACGTTTGATTTTGCTGTTAGGAGAAAGGCTTCACGCTTGATGCTTGAGCAACGAAGGAATGTTGCTACCTGGAGGGATGTCTTTGAGAGTCCCATCAGAGTCCAAAGGGAGTTTTGACAATATTTTGATGGAAATGTATTGCTCATGCAAATGTATTGATATAGTCAGAGGGCATTTTGGGGCACTTTCAAACTTCAGAAATACCTCCATTTTTTACCAAGATGATTCCAAATGACATGCTATCATTCAGTTAATGTTAATTTTTTTTTGTGCCAACTGTTTCGTTGATGTGAATTTTTGAAATGGTATAGGGACATATGGGACACCCTGTATACCACTTACACATGCTTTCGGATCATGTACTGCACTGCAATGGATGTTTCATTTCTGGCACTCAACTGCAAACATGTGGATCACATCTTGAGATATTTTTCCTATTTTGTCTAATTCTTCCTGGTGACAATTGAGAGGACTCAACTTTCTGCTTCTCTTTAATTCATGTTGTTTTGTGATATGGGTTTCCTTACTGATTTGCTACCTGGTGAACCTTTTGTTCCTAGCTGAAATCCATTTAGTTACGTAGTAGCTACAAAAATTTTCCCTCAGGGACAACAGTATGGGAGAGAGTGTTGGTGCAAGAACTTTTTGAGCAACCCTTGCATGTATACCCATGGGAATGACTGCTGTATCAGTTAATTTCTCATTATGAGCAAAATCTAGGGCATTTCATTAGTCAGCTGAGTGTTGTCTAAAATAAAATAAATGGCAAAGTTGGTAAATTATAATAATACAATAGTTATCCAGTTACATGCTATGAAATTATTCACATGTTCTTTAGCTTTACCTATGCATGTGTACTCTGAAACACTTAGGTGCAAAAGTCTTTGCCCCCAGTATTTCAATTATTTCTCAGGGTGGATGGGATGAATATTTAAAACCAATTTTATTCACAGATAATGCATGGGACAAGGTAGAAAAGTATCACAATTAATTGTTCATCCTCTCTCCTTTCAAGTCAATCAAAGCCAAACATCACACTTTCATCAACATGACCAAATAATTTAGAGTGGCCAAGGTGATTCTGTTCCATTCTTCTTGCAGTAATCTGTCCAGTTCATTGGGATTTGATGGTTTCCACTTCTCAACATGCTGTTTGAGGATTGACCAAAGGTTCTCTATTGGATTGACATTGACTGTTCAATGGTCAGTCTATCGTTTTGGGTACTTACTCAAGTAGGAACTGCATTGTCACTCGACTTCTTGTTTGGGATCGTTTTCTTGCTGCAGTTGCCAGCATCAACTGAACTGCCTTCTGGCGCTACAGAGGAGGTGATCTTGAAGTATTTGAATGTAGTAAGAGCCATCCATAATTCTCTCTAATGAATGACAGTCAACCAGGCCCATGACACTGAAGCCGCCCCACACCATAATCTTCTGTCTGTTCTTCAGATTCGCTTGGCCTTGCCTCTTGGATTCTTTAACCATGGAGGAATCATGTTTTTGAATAGTTGGTAGGAGGTCTTGTTGGTGAATACTGTTTGGCTCCAATCATTCTTGTGTTGAATTGTCCACTGGACATGCACACCTTTGTGCTTCTGTGCCAACATTGGCATCACTTGGGGCAAAGTACTCTTGTTGCCCATCCATTTGAGCTGGCCATCCATGTCCATTGGGACACATGCCAACCTCAGTCCTTAAGCAACTTTTCCACCAGTTCTTTTGTCATCTCATGGTTTCATCAAATCCACTGGCTGAGTGCCTTGTCCTTGATGGTGGTGATTTTGTGGGGTCAGCCACTATGGTGTCTGTTCTCCACTGTGCCTTGTTCTTTGATCTTGGCAATTATATACTTGACTATTCGAATGGTAATCTTTGTCAGACAAGCATTTGTGGCAGGAGATTGATGGCTGTTGTTCCAGAAGTATAAAATAGTTGATCACTTTGTTTTCAGAGAAGTAGAATTTCATTGTTGAGGCATTTTCTTCCAACTCAAGAATGTTTACAATAATTTGTGGTTTTCACAGCTATATATAGACCTTTCCTCACCTTCTAGGAAGTTCTAGAAAATTTTTCCAGAAATTTCCAGAGATATGCTTCCAGAAAGTTGGCTTATGCAAGGGGCCAGGTCTTTTGCACCTTAATGTATGCACATATATACTAGAATGGTTGTTTATTTGATGTGGATGTAGTTACTCTGTAGATGTTAATTTTTAGTACTTTCTCATATGAAGTCATTGGCGCATACTGAAATGAAGCAGAATTCTATCAAATGCAGGATATGTAGGAAGAAGTTATCAGGCTCACCTTCCTTTTTTTTTCTCATCAATTTAATAAGAATTTCCAAATAAGTAAAAACCTGCAGGTATTTAGTGCCATTGGGGAAATATAAGTAATCTGAAGCATATCCTCCTTTCAGATTAGTCATATTAGCATATCACTGCCCATTTAATTTTAACTTTTGCTCGCATGATGGAATCAGAACTGGATAAGTTGGTAAATTACTTCTGTTGGAAATTGCATTGCATAGTACAGGGTGTCCATAAAGTGTCTACCTATGGGTGACTTTTTTATTAAATACCCTGAAGTAGCTATTTTTTATAACTTTTGTAGATCGAGAACATACCGACCTCGGAATAGTGTAAGATTTTTTCTTCTTCCATGGGCTTGTCCTTGTAAGCAATGCCATCTAAGTAGACCCAGAGAATAAAAATCACAAGGGATCAAAATCCAAAGCTTGTGGAGGCCATTTGCTATGGCTGACAATTTGGAATGCTACACTCCATATGTCTGAACTTATAATTGAAGGGCTGAAAGGCAAAGTGGTCTATCTGCAAAAAAGTCATTTTTCCGACTAAAGTGGTCTATGTACATAGACCACTTCTCCTTTGTGAACAGCCTGTTCTAATTTGGAAAGGAAAAGTGGTCTATCTGCATGAAGAAAGAAAAGTACCCTGTAGGATTTCTGCAAAATGAAAAAAGAATAGAATCATTACATGTTACACTTCTTAATTTACAGAGCTAGGTCCCTAGAATCTTCATTTCCTCCTTCAGTAGCTTGGGATACTGTTTCTTGCAGATAGATCACTTTTCCTTTCAAGCTTTCAACTACTTTCTTCAATGAAAGGAAAAGGTCTATGTACGTAGACCACTTTTCCATTTTTCGGAATTTTTCTTCAGATAGACCATTTTGCCTTTCAGTCCTTCAATTGATATGAGGGTTTGGTAAATGAATTCTCAGTTCCATTAGAGCATTGGAACTGAAGATGTGACATCATTCTGAGGTCTAGTGATAAACAGCCTGCAAAAATAAAAAAGTTGGTTCCCCCAGATTCTGTATGAAAAAAGTTGCCCATAGGTAGTCACTTTATGAACACCCTGTACTTTGTGTTCTTGATTTTTTAAATCCCACCCATAACATCATGAACTTGGGCAACACTAGTGACTCTAACCATATATTTTTAATCATGCCATTTAAAGAAATTATGTGCTTGTCTCTTGCCTCGCAGACAGCAGATGCGAATGGATCGACGTGCTGTGCCACGAGTGGGAGAGCGAGTGCCATATGTGATCACTTATGGTACCCCAGGGGTCCCACTGATCCAGCTGGTGAAACCCCCACTGGAGGTGGTCCAGGACCCATCTCTACGCCTCAATGCTCATTACTACATCTCTCGTGTCATTATTCCTCCCCTTGACCGGTGCCTCTCCCTCCTGGGTGTATCTGCTGGCCTTTGGTATGTCCATGCATTCCAATCCCAGTATCTAACCTTTTTGGTTTAGCTGGGACCTATCCAATCCCTACCCCAGTAGCACCCCAATATTGGGTCAATATATATCGCCACGATGTATACATCTTGGACCATTGTTGGCATTACTACACGGAAAAACATCAGGCCAATATTGGCGTTAATATTTTCCCTAACTTTTTTTTCTAGTAGAGGCATTCCAATGGTGAAGGCGTTTCACTATACAGTACTTGTACGGCCTGTACCAATATAACCCCTTGCCCATGCACAAGTTTCTCCTGTGCATAAGCAGGAGACATAGAACAGTACAGAGGTTGACCGTCCCTGAAAACAGTAATTGTAGTACATTTCAGGAGAAGGTCAACTCCTTATTGTTCTGCGCAGTACTTGTGGTTTCAGTCCTTCATTTCCTCATTACATCCTCAGGATGAGGAAAGGAAGGATTGATTCCACAAATACATTACACATTCTAATACTCCTTTCGGATAGAGGAAAACAGCGTTCGTAGGGGCTCTCATAGGGAATATGAGCTTGATTATTTCCTGGACTCCATGATTCTGTCTCGAATATGCGGATAACAAATGATGAATTGTCCGACTTTATTGATTGCTATAATGAGACTAGGCGAGACATATAGCGAGGTACTAAACACTCCTGTGAAGGACAATTACAGGGAAAGAGAGAAGGGTACTTCTGTGTACTGTAAGAAAAGCGAGACCTATACCTCCATCTAGTGGCCTGAAGGGTAACTTCAAGTGCGGTCAGGCACATTGGATCATCACGTTGGTCCAATATTGGATGAATAATCATATAGCAATATCGGAATTTAATTGTTTCCCCAACATTCAGGCAATATTGGCAATATTGCCCAAGACGTAGCCAACGTACCCAATGTTGGTCCAGCATTGAGCCNCAAATGGCACAACATTCCAAACATATTATTCATTTTCAGAATGCTCTTGAACTGCTATTAGAGGCAGTGTCTCTCTAGCTTTGCCAAGGATTATAGGTGTCCTCAGAATTGGCACTTTTTTCTGTCCCACCCATAACGGTAGTGTCATAAATAGGCAAATTGAAATGGTGAGCTAAGATAAATTGTTTTTTGCTTTTACCCACAAATGTTAAGCATAATTGTCCCACCCATAACACGTCTTGCATGCTTACCCTGTTAGGTACAGACTACAACTGCCCATGCTGATGCGCATTGCTGTGCCATGATAGGAGACAGTGATAAATTTATGCATGGCCATACACATGAGAGGCGACATTTCAAATCAAAATTGTCCCACTGTAACATTTTTTGTTAACTCTTTAAAAACACAATTAAGCACAGTCATTAATTTTATTTTGAAAATGTATGCTGTTTGGCATTGTGGATGATAGTAAAAATCCAAAATTGTAGCATCCTAAGTTAAACCGTTTCAGACAAGACAACATTTTTGACAAAATAGCCAAAATTATGCATACTACAAAATTTGCAACTCTTTATCTAAGTATTAAACAACCATCAGTAAGGAATCCAATGCAAGTTCTTAAAAAGTGCTTTGTGTTGATATGCAACATGTATATGATAATGCAATATTTGAAAATTAATCAAATTTTAAACATCTGCAATGCTTGTCCCACCTGTAACTTTCGTTACGAATGGGACAAAAGTATCACATGGATGCAGAATGACTTGAAATCTTGAGTTTCATCCCTTGGGGTGGTTTCTTGGGTACATACCAACAATGTAACAACAATCGAAACAATTTGAACCCATGGTGACCTTTTCGACCCATTGTGACCTTCCCTGAATCTCTCTATTTAATAGTAGCCAAGGTTGACCAATAAAGATTCAAGGTGACCCATGGTGACCCATGGCAATCAAAAGTGACCTAACTTGGTCACTCTTTAAATTTTAGTAAACTTACATTGCCCTAGGAAAATGAGGCCCAAGTTGGATTGATTGGACAATTTGGGTAAATTTGGGTCACCATGGGTCACCTGCAGTCACTCTGGATCATATTTACTCACTCTATTTCAATTTTAGCATTCCTCAGTAACCGTAGAATAATTAGGCCCATGTTGGGTTGATTGAACAGTTTGGGTCACTTTGGGTCTCCCTGGATCACTTTTGGTCAACTCTGGCTACTACTAAATAGTGAAATTAATGGTAGGTCACCATTGGTCAACATCAGAGACAAATACAGATTGACAGAAATGAAAAGTTTTAAAGTAGAAATTTTCCGTTTTTGTCTCCTTGGAATTGCTCCTTTTTTGGCCTGATTCAGTCCCTTGTAATAATTCTTAAAAATGAAGAAAATAATAGATAAAGGATTGCAGCAATTCAAGGGCTGGGTCACAACTTAGAATCAGATGATCAGTCACCAAATTGAGAAAAATCCCCACATGCTACTTTGCCCACAAGTGATCAAATCTGGACTGGACAATAGCAATAACTGCACCAAGCTCATTTTCAGCATCCTAATGGCCCAGAAATTTTCCCACTGGTAAGATGAGACTCATGGGAGGAGAATTTTCAAAGACCTGGTAGTAATGAGACCTAAGAGAAAACCAGTGCACCAACGTGACACTGAGCATTTAAATTACAGCCCAAAGAGATGCACAATGGAACTTTTGTCTTGATTTGGATTGTGGAAGATCTCTGATGAAAATGAACACTTGTTGAAAGAGAATCAAATTTCAAAGCCTGTGCTAGGGGATTGCTTTCTTTTAGTCTTGTTCTCTTTGAGAAAGAATCAGAAATCCCTTGGTCTTGTATTTCAGAGGAAAAGGGGTGGTTTTACATTCTACTACTTTGCTTACCCATGTGAAAATCTCATATAAGACCATATATGAAATAGCCATATATTTAGCCAGTCCAACATATATTGGGGATATAGGACCATATAGTGCAATTCATATATGAACTTATGCGAAACACATATGGGGTTTGACACAAGTCACATAAAATTATATAAAAATGAAAATATTCAGTATATGACTCCATATATGCCATGTCATATTATGTATGGTGTGATTACCTGTGATATGTGAGTATGGTGAGATTACCTGAAACATGCCTGTATCCAAAAAGGGTCCATAATCCATCAAATACTGTATAATCATTCATATGCAAGTCACCATACTTTACTTGCAATCAACTCATTTTTAATTTTTCATAGGACACAGTCAATTGCTCCAAGAACTCATGTTTCAGGGTATTCAACATATCCACCCTTGTTAATGAAGGTGAAAGTTTTAATATTATAGATTTGAAGCTTCACAAGTATATACAAATATTCACAAGTATACAAATAGCATCAATGATGCTATTTCATGACAAAACTTAGCTTGCTCATGTAGGAGTGTCTTCTTCATTTTGACTGACAACTCGCATGATATATGGGGAAGAAACTGTATTCCTTTCTGAAATCCAATGAAGGCATGGCACAGCATGGCATGTGTACCCCCCCCCCCCCCCCCCCCCCCCCCCCCCCCCCC